TTGGAACGCTTGGAGGACAGGATCTGACCAGTTGGTGCCAGTTCAAGGCTTCCTTCATTAGGATGGCCAGGACTCCCTCCAGCTTGCGGGTGAAGAACATGACAAAAGAGTCGCTTCTTCGCTGCAAGTTCAGCTCCTGGTCGTGCCTGATCACCAACGTCGTCCGTTGTTTCAGGAGCTGGGGCACTTGGTCGTTTGCGGTCCCCTCTTCCTTTGGCGGAGGGCGCGCTGCGTCTTGGTGCCTTGCGTTTGGTCTCTTCTGGGATCTTGGGTTTCTCCAGCCCACGATGATCCACCATCATCCGGAACTCGAAGATACGTACCGACTGGGCTGAAGCGCTGCTCATGATCTGTGTGGCTGTCTGCCAGGGTGCCAGTTATATGGAAACACTTATTTTTGGGGACCATGGTTGACCCACAGGCTTTTAAGTGTACAGAGCAGCGGTATAGTCAGTATAGAGAAATCACCAAACACTTTGAAATTATGGTTTTTTAGGACCACTGCTTATAATTGAACTCCCCCAAAGACAACTCTTGATCATGTTTGAGCCGCCCCTTGACAAGTACAGAAATCTATCGGGAAAAAACATTTCATGTTTGGGATGAAAAACACATGACACCTCCACCGGGTTCTATTCTGGTTGTTTGCATCCCTTTGATGCCGAAGTCACAAATTTCGTTCTGTATCGTCCCAAAGCTGGCTAATGCCAATCATATTTTTCTTTGTTCGTGGCCAAAACTTGGGGTATACCGTCTTTTTCCTCATGAAACAAACCCAAAGTATCATTTGAAACTGATGATTGAAATCAAACACAATAAATTGGAGGTTTTCCTCATTTTCAATCATATAGGGGTGTCCTGAAATTGATCCCCAACTCACCATGGGTTCCAATACTAAGTCATGGTCTAATGACTTGGATGATTTGGGGTAGACCCATTTGGGGCAGAACCTCCATTTGGTTGTGTCAGTACTGTACATAGACTATAATTCATGTCCAAGCATTTTCTCAATCTCTGGTTATTCCTATATTGACTATATAAGACTATATATATATATATGGATACTATATGGCTATGGGTCAAAATTGCTTACCCCAATCATTCAATGGTACTAAACATGAATCCTCAAATCTGTGGTCCAGTAGGCCTTATTTTGAACAAAATCCACATGAAATTTGACCGTTCATTGACTACTTGTGGAATTGGTCTCATAATTCATTTACAAAATTGACAATTATGGTTTATGAATTCAATTCCAGTAAATTACAAATATCATTAGGCCTAAACCAATATCATTTTCTTATAATTCATAATTGACCATTTAAAATGTCAGCTAATGGTTTGGGCATGTCCCATCCTCACAGTGAAATCTCATTGCCCCGCCTTGCGACAAATGCCCAGGCCTAGAAGCGAAATTCATGGGGATGTTCCCTCCAAAACATGCAAATTTCCCAAGAGAAATGCAGATTTGACCCAGAAAACTGGGGAAAACATGGGGAAAACTTTGGGAAACCCTTGGGATGACCATTGGATACCTGGTAAACTAACATAACTATATATAACTATGGAACACGACCATTTTTTAGCGGGGAAAAAAACATGAACCATTTGTTAGCCATCTATACCAGTTCGCAAACTGGAGATCAGCCCGCGAGTTGCAACACGTGGCCAGCGGTGGCCCCGGTTGCTATATCCCCGATTAAATCGGGTTCTCCCATGTATAAATGGTTTTTAACTTATAACCATACAGTTGCTAACCATTTACTAAGTGGTATGATTCTCCGAGTACTTATTTCAGTTGGCTTAGTTTCCCCATCCTAACTAGAGTTATAAATTTCAGGTAGATATTTCCACCAACTTAGCGATTTCGACCTGAAGCACAACCTTGGTTTTGTACCAAAAGCAATTCGTTAGATAACCACAAAGCCCAAAGTGAAAGCAACTACTTGAGTGATCAGAAGTATTGAAAAAATCATTGGGGATTTTTCTGCTCCTAATCTACCAATTCAAGCAAGCAAGACAGAAACGCAATGGAAAATGAACGTTGACGTCGACCTTGACAAATTTGAGGATGAAAGTGGCTCGATGTCACCGATGGTTGCTGAGGCAAGTAGAATGAGCACCCCACTATGCGGATGGCAAAATGGGTTGAGAATTGCAGGTCATTCGGTGTGACAATGTTCAATGAAACAATGTGATGCCCCCCAGTTATAAGTTGGTTTATAAACCCCAAGAACTATGTATATATATAATATATATATATATATACTATCTGTCATGAACAGTAAACCATGTATATATGTAGCTATACCTAGATCCTCCAAATACCTTCAACAAATTGTGAAAGTACTGGGATAGAACAGCTAAAACTAAAACATAATTTTTAATGGTATTACCTGGCTGGGTCTAGCTGTATTGGATAGCTCTCAACCAATTTGGCAATTCAATTCCGTGGGGTTCCCTTGGGTCATACCACCATCGAGAATCTGCAGCTTGGCCATCAAATCTGTCTGTAGGCCCTCCCAATTCCCCGGAGCAATGGTACAAATACTACCCTCTGGTAAACTAACATAGCTATTGAAAATGGCCGTAGAAATAGTGAATTTTCCCATTAAAAATTGTGATTTTCCATAGTTATGTTAGTTTACCAGGGGGTAAACTATACTCAAATTGTGGGATAAACGACAATTTTAAAGGGTACACGCGGATGGTCTGGTCCTGCAATGGAGATATGACCATCGCTAAATCCAATTCATAGCTACCTGTAGTTGAATAAAAGACTGTTGACCATGGGACAAAACTGAAACATTTTTTCGCGCAAGTTGGTCTTCTGAAGTATCAAATCCGTACTCTGTAGGTCAAAAAGGAAACCAAATTCCAATGGCTGTTGAGAACAGTCCCATCCCATGTATTTGTTTTTCATCCTTAATTAGCATATGAAATGGCGGTGATTTCTTGCACTCAGTGTCCAAATGATCTGCGACCTACCCATCCCGATAAGCGAATTACGTCCGTGGGAAGCCAGTGAAAAACAAAAGAAAAGTACCCCAACATAGCTACATAGACCCTCCGAGTACCCTTAAAAAATGGTAGTTGGTTGATGCATTTTACCCTTAAACTGATGGGATAAATGGCATCTTACCCCATGATAATTATGGTATTTTTATCCATTGCTTGAGGATGTTTGAGATTTTTGCAGGGTCAAACGGTCGACTCAGCCAATTTGATCCTTATTGCCCTTCAAATTCAAGGCTGCAAGGGGGCCCCTGGGTTATGATGATGAAATTATTATAGTTGTGACATGATGTGACAATGAAATAGCGCGTGCCCAGCATAGTTGATGTCGTTGCTTTCATTTTAACATGTGATGATGCCTATAAACCTTATGATGACGATAATGATGATGACAATGATGACGATGTTGACGATGTTGATGATGATGATGGTGATGATGATGATGATGATGATAATGATAATGATGATAATGATGATGACGATGGTGATGATGATGATTATGATGATGATGATGATGATGATGATGGCGATGATGATGTGGCACCACCTTTTGCCGATCATAATCGGATTCCCACGGTTAATCCCATATAAAACCGCCATGTCGTTGTTTAACATCCTAAGAATCAAGAAAACATTAAACCTGCGTGGCATCTCAATGCAGCGAAGGAACAGGGGAAACTCCTCAGGACGCCTTGGAGGAGGCACACCATGGTTTCTATGCTTTGAAATGTGGACTTGTTATTCCATAAATGGGGTTATTTCACTGACTTATAACTCATTAACTGGGTCATGACTGTAGATGGAATCGAAAACGTATTTGATTTAACCACCACATATATCCTTGTGTCCTTGTGGGGTTTTAAGTAGGGTAGTTGATAAGGTTGATAGGGATTTTAAGCATCCAACTATGGGGATATAAGGTGATATAAGATGATACACTATGATATCAGGTGATATAACTGAACAGAACCGATTATGAGATAAGTGATAAATTTTATGGTTGGATGATGGAAAAGCTTCGTGGGTTGCTTTTTTGTTTACTACCCCAAAAAAAACAAAAAGGGCATCCAGAATGGGGGAATCCCGTTCTTTTTCCCAGGCATAACTTGGATGGTTGCAACATGTTGCAACCAGATTCAAAGAGGCACGATCTGATCGGATGGGAATGGGACTTCTAAACTTCTAAACCAACAAAGATAACTATGGGAAAAGCCACCTTGTAAAAAAAACAAGGTAAGACAAACATGTTATGGGACATTTTGGTATGGTTCCCAGATCCACAAAAAAAACATGTGCACGTCGCCATGAGGTTAGCGACATAACAACACACCATTCCAATCACTTGGCAGGACATGGATGGGATGGGATAAGCTCGATACTCAATACTCTATGCATAGCAAATATCGTTATGCATTCTGCGACCTTCATTCCCTAGTCCTCAGTTGTAACCAAAGAATGGCACATTTCAATGGCTTCGGTAACGTGAACGACTATCTACATGCAGCACATTTTGTTCAATGCAGGAACATATATATCAACGCGGAACGCCTACATAGGAAATCAACCACAACGCAACGGTGTTTTGCTTGAGTTCAGGGTCAATGGATTGGTTTAAGGGAAAATCTTAACCGGAAACCATGGTTTTTACATGTTTTTACCATCAAATATATATATATATATGTGGGTTTTCTATGGTTTTCTATGGTTTTCTGTAAATTTTCCCATCATCCAATTCTATGACAGGGGGACAAAAACACCAAAATGTTGGTTGGCACCACTGGGTTGGAATCTGGGGATCCTAAACAATCCATGATGCATCTGGTTGAGCCCTGAAAAAGATGAATGTCAACCGGGATCCCATACAGCATGGAAACAAAATATATGAAATCACCAAGCGCTTCAGTTTGCACACTGTTTTTTTTTCCGCAGCTACACACCAGTGATGACCCGTCTACCCATCTGATGACGTCAACAACTGGCATCCCTCAGCAGCCAAGCTTCCAAATCTCCCGCGGGCACCGGCCGAGGTCGAGTTGGCCAGCCGGTGGCGGAGGAAACGACTCCTGCAGTGCAATTTCTGGTGGTTTCCATCCCAAAAACCGGAGAGTGTCTAAAGATGAGGCCAACATGGCCATTTTGATCCGGAAAACCTGCAGACTATGCAGGCTATGCATCAAAAACTTCGGGGTAATCCATGGACGAAACCCTGTGGGATCATGATTCCAAATCTGACACAACAAGTTTGATAAAGCAAAGAGTCACATGGGCAAGAAGCAAAGCGTGTAATAAACACGAAAAGATAAAAGCCTGGGGTGATGATGTTGATGATTGTGGTTCATCATGATTCATAATGATCCATGATGGTTCATAAAACCTGTTCACAGCCTCGTTGTTGTTGGTACTTGGGAGTTCCATGAAAAAAGGAAAACCTACCGCGAAAAAAAACATCGGGAAAATCGCCTTCTTCGAGTCATCCCCCACCCTGACATGCTATTCTGACATTCTTTCTGGCATTCTATCTGGCATCTTTTCAGACATACTTTGTGGCATCTATTCTGACATTCTTTCTGGCATTCTATCTGGCATCTTTTCAAACATACTTTGTGGCATCTATTCTGACATTCTTTCTGGCATTCTATCTGGCATCTTTTCAGACATACTTTGTGGCATCTATTCTGACATTCTTTCTGGCATTCTATCTGGCATCTTTTCAGACATACTTTGTGGCATCTATTCTGACATTCTTTCTGGCATTCTATCTGGCATCTTTTCAGACATACTTTGTGGCATCTATTCTGACATTCTTTCTGGCATTCTATCTGGCATCTTTTCAGACATACTTTGTGGCATCTATTCTGACATTCTTTCTGGCATTCTATCTGGCATCTTTTCAGACATACTTTGTGGCATCTATTCTGACATTCTTTCTGGCATTCTATCTGGCATCTTTTCAGACATACTTTGTGGCATCTATTCTGACATTCTTTCTGGCATTCTATCTGGCATCTTTTCAGACATACTTTGTGGCATCTATTCTGACATTCTTTCTGGCATTCTATCTGGCATCTTTTCAGACATACTTTGTGGCATCTATTCTGACATTCTTTCTGGCATTCTATCTGGCATCTTTTCAGACATACTTTGTGGCATCTATTCTGACATTCTTTCTGGCATTCTATCTGGCATCTTTTCAGACATACTTTGTGGCATCTATTCTGACATTCTTTCTGGCATTCTATCTGGCGTCTTTTCAGACATACTTTGTGGCATCTATTCTGACATTCTATGGGTTTGTCTGAAAATAGGGTATATTCCCAATGAAATAGCCATTTAATAGGGATAATGATCAGCAAAACCATTGGGTTTAGGGGTACACTATTTTCAGACACACCCATCTACCTATCTGGCAATGAGATCAGGGGCGCTGTCCACAGCCATATCCGGAATGACTTCACAGCAGATGCACCGTCCCGTGGCTCCGACACGCTGTGGCCTTTTGGCGCAGGATGGTGCAGCCTTTTTGTTATTTGGTATGTTAGCTTTCTACAGTTATGATCACTATAAAGCCATATATAAACCCTAGTTAAACAAATAAATATATATATATAAATATATTTATATGTATGTATACAGATATATTGGTTGTAAAGCACATTAGCAAATTACCGGACACCATCTATGCTGTGTATACCCTGCAATAAGGCCCATAGAGTCCAACGGCTACTTCCTGCGGTGCGCGTCCTGTCCAACGGGTAGGAAACTGCCTGTACCTGGAAATCAGGGCAGCAGAAGGAGACGTTTCATGGGTTTATCATTGGCTATATACATGATGATTCATTCAACAAAATTGAGGGGTATGAAATCAAGATTCACAGGGGTATATTTCTACACATATTATAAATATATATATATAAATATAAATATAAATATGCATCCACTGTAAATAAAATTGAATATCATTGATTGTCATACTAGACTATAATGGGATAACCGCCCGTGAGAATTCAACTCCAGGTTTGATGCGAATATTCATTGCCTTTTTGATGGGGGGTTTTAATACATTTTAATGGAATTGGAATGGACATATCATGGTGTCAGAAAGGTGACACCTCGCTTACTAACTGGGGGGTGGTTGAATCCTCAGAGCTACAAAAGCTGAGTATACTTCCCGAACTCACCTGGATATGGCTGCACTAAGTCACTAAGCCCTTTCTTTGGAGACGCTTGGCCCTGAGCCTTCACCAGGGGCCTGTGCAGATTGGATTCATGGATGTTTTTAAGCGGTTACATCATGTTACATCCCAGTGTTGCTCGCAAAATTTCATCTGTACTTCAAACGGGTACACTCCTATACCATCCTATACCACCCTGTACCTATCTCATCCTAAATCCCCATTATCGCATATCTTCAATCCCCGATCTTGATGGAAACTCCCCAAAAGATTGATGTTCCAAGACTATTGGGGACCACAACTTTCATGTTAAAATCCCAAGCATTTTTAAAGCCAATGTACCACATGGTTGTTAGATCCTGACTTTGGCTGGTTAGTTCACATCACCTGTGCTAAGTTAAGACCCTAATATGTCATCAATCAGATCATGTTCAATCTCCAAATTTGCGAAATGCAAAGTTTCAAACGTGAACTCCCCAGTTTTTTGCCCATGAAAAGCCGCCAACCCATCCCCACATCCCCAGGGGATACTGGCGACATCGGCCCAAGGGGTTGGAGGCCTCGGAGTTCGACTGATGAATCAGCCAGGGGAAGCATTTGGTCTTAAAAGAAACATGGTGAAATGAGATTAGAGGACTGGACCATACATGTTTTTGATGATATAAGACTCAAACGTGGCGATTCAACTGAAACCAAACAAACACCTAAAGGGTTTTATGGATTTTATGGAGTATAAGATCGCACACATGGAGGATGCACGCATCCCAAAGAACGGGGATGTCATCGGATGCTCAGAAGTGGAGATCTAACCAATCAACAGCCTGAAGCCAGCCAAATTCAGGTTTTAAGATGGTTTGATTAGCTGTTGATGGGTACAAAGTGGCCAACATGTCGTGTTAACCTTTATTTTGGGGATTCTGAAATTTGGGCTAATCTGGAGGTGAAACAGGCCAAAATCTATGGTCTGCAACCAATCCAACCAATCAAACAAATGCTGCACAAAATCAGTTGCACAAAATCAGTTGCACCCACCTGTTAAGCGTAAAATCCACTTTGTTCAAAGGCACCTCCCACTTGTTGACGTTCAGATTCAAAGAAAAATTCTCAATCTTCAGCCATTTCATCCCGAAAAATCAATTGAAATCAGATCAACTCATCTGAAATCTCCAAATTTTGCCGCATTTTTTCCATGGTTCACCCCCAACTTTCACCCTGAACCTCCACCCCAACCCCCCAAGCGCCCGAGGCGCCACAACCCCGGCGGCAGCGCGGCAATGCCGCCGCCGAAGGTGGCGGCGTAGATCTGCGCCCCAGCAAGGGCGCCAAGGTCAAAGGCGTCCCGCAGCGCGCAGCCCTGGTGCCGCAGCCCTCTTTTTGTGTTTTTTTTGATAAAGTAAGTTTTTTTTTCACTTTCGGCAGCACCTTGGGTTATCTATGTTTGGGGAGACCTTAGTATAGGTGATTTGTGTTAATGTTTTTTTTGGTATACCTAGACCCTTCCGCCCCAAAAAAAGGTAAAGGTATATGTAAAAATCACTAGTTTCCGGCCTGGAGATGGCCGGAGAGATGGACACAACGAGACGTCTACAAGAAATGGTGATTTTCAAGGAATTGAACCAAATTGATATGGGGATTAGTGATGGGAATTTACCGTCTCGTAATTTGTTAGCAGTTTGCTATTGAAACTGCCATAGAAAGTTCGTTGATTTAGCCATGAAAAATGGGTGGATGTTCCATAGATATGTTCGTTTACCAGAGGGTAAGGCAAGCCTGCTCAAACATTATGTTGATTATGTTGTACCTGAAGTCTCCATAGATGATATAATGAGTTGACCAGAGACTACATGGTTTTGGCCTTGTTGCAAACATTGAGGATCTAAGCAAAAATAAACATGTTGTCTTTCCAACCTAGAGATTCAGCCAGCAAATTCGGAGTTTCGACAATGACAAGCAAACTCAGAAAACTCGGAACTACTATGAGCAGAAAGTGAGACTTTCACCCAAAACACATGAGTTTGTCCGAGCATTCCCAAACTCCCATGGTTTAGACTTTGTTCCCCGAACAAAACACAGCACCATACCATACAAACAGTCAATTTTTGAAACCTTGCCAAACGTTAGATTTTTGGCTCTTGAACAGATATTCCCATTGCATCAGATTACAGTTAGGTTGTGGTGAACTACCCATCCAGTTGGCATGTCCGCAGCAAAAAAAACGTTGGTACGTCGTCGGTGGAATGTTGTTTTTCATCCCCACTAGATCCCCATGATTGGTAACATGGCTAGGTGGAATATCCCGATGGATTTCAATGATCTTCACACTACCCATCTAAAACCCATCGATTTTTTTTTGATTTCCACAGCCATGAAGGGTCTGAAGGGTCCTCCATGATGGCTGGCATCGCCTCCAAGAAATGGACCAAGTCCTGTGAGAAAATCATGGGTGAAAAAGGCAAACGAACCCAAAATGGCTTACCTTTTAAAAATCTGTGCAGGAAAACATCGCCACAATGGGGTAAGAATGGGAAAGTCATGGGGTAAGAACAGGACAATAATGTGGTTGATGTGAAAATGCAAATTTGCTGATTAGTGATGTATGATGGAAAAAATTGGGATATTAGACTGGGAAAAACATGGAACCATGGGAGAATAATGGGAAAATATGGGACAGTAAAGATACTGGAAAATAGTTGGTCATTAATCATGGGGAAATCTAGGTGGGGTAATGATCGATTTTTTTATGGGGGGTGCAGTTGAGGTGACTTGGATGGGTATCTCTAGCAGTTCCGGTTCCTGACTCCTTCTCTCATCACTAGGCTGATGCCATGTAGTGGTGATATCATGGTGGGTACAACCAGCTTGGATGTAACCATCAAGAGGCTGGATTTGACCATCAAACCTAGGGCTGTCACCACGAATTGGGGATTTAAACATCAATGGTGAACAATGGTGATTTAACCATCAAACATCGAAGGTTTTACCATCAAAACAAGATATATATTTATATAATATACTTAACCCTCAAACATATCGGCATGTCATGAATATCTTATGTGTATATATATATATATGCATGCATGTATATATATACATTAAAATATTCCACTTTATAGGAAAATGGATGGGAATATAGCTGGATAAATGGGGAGATACATTGGGATATACTGGGGATATAATGGGAGATGTGTTATAGGTATTCTGGAGGAGATATATCAAACGATAATTTAATAAATAAACTATATATATATAATGTGTATGTATAAATATTTTTTTAAAATTTTGATGCTAACGGGATAAGGAGGCTTTCTAGGACCATCAACACCAGAAAGAGTAGTCATGGGGATGTTCCGATTTTGATGGAAAGTGCCAATCCACCCAGTAACAAAATGTAAACCGGGATATTGCATGGGAAAAACAACTCATCAACTGAAACAAAATATGTGTGTGTGTGCCTGAACAAGAGCGGGATATCCATAGAGTGGCTGGTTAAATGAAAAAACTATATTCAAACAAACCTAAGTGAATCTAAGTGGGGCTTGAATGGGTTTATTTTGCTAACCGAAAAGTGGAGATTTCACCAAGAAAACACATGGGCTTCAGGGTTTAAACAGCTAAGACTCGTGATTTTTCAATGGTTTGTATGCACCAACAAGTCAACAAAAAAGGGAGCTGGAGTCCAGACTACAATGACAACATCTGACCAGGGAGTCAATACATGTTTTCTAGGAGTTGACCAGTAAGGACCCATGAACTTTCCAAAGGTTATGCCACCACAACATCCACAGAATTCTGCTACCCCATTCAATGAGCGACCCAAGCTCAATCGAAACGCGTTGCGTCTTTTCCCCACCTCTGCCGAATAGTTTTTTATTTTATATTTGTCATAACTGTACGAAACATCCGACAGTTTTCACACCTAGGTTTCGCCTGGGACTAAGCGGAAAAGCCAAAAATCCAGTGGTTAGGAGGAAGCGATTTGGAGTTAGGGGTATTCATATTCCCAACAAATATTCCCTATTCAATGGGGAGCCAACGAGCTACTTATAATTTCCCAACCATCTCATAGTGGTTAAATCCCATTAAATCACAATTTTCAGTGGTTAAATCCCATTAAATCACAATTTTCAGTGGTTAAATCCCATTAAATCACAATCCTCCGTGATTAAATCCAATTAAATCACAATTTTCAGTGGTTAAATCCCATTAAATCACAATTTTCAATTGTTAAATCCCATTAAATCACAATTTCCAGTAGTTAAATCCCATTAAATCTCAATTTTCAATGGTTAAATCCCATTGAATCTCAATTTTCAGTGGTTAAATCCCACTATATCACAATTTTCGTTTGTTGAATCCCATTAAATCACAATTTTCAGTCGTTAAATCCAATTAAATCACAATGTTCAATGGTTAAACGACATGAAATCTCAATTTTCAGTGGTTAAATCCCATTAAGTCATAATTTTCAATGGTTAAAAAAAATCGCAATTTTCACTGGTTAAACCACATTAAATCACAATTTTCAGTTGTTAAATCCCATTAAATCACAATTTTCAATGGTTAAACGACATTAAATCGCAATTTTCAGTGGTTAAATCCCATTAAATAACAGTTTTCAATTAAATCCCATCAAATCACAATTTTCAATGGTTAAATCCCATCAAGGCACAATTTTCAGTGGTTAAATCCCATTAAATCACAATCCTCCGTGGTTAAATCCAATTAAATCATAATTTTCAGTGGTTAAATCCCACTATATCACAATTTTCGTTTGTTGAATCCCATTAAATCACAATTTTCAATGGTTAAATCCCATCAAATCACAATTTTCAATGGTTAAATCCCATCAAATCACAATTTTCAATGGTTAAATCCCATCAAATCATTTTCAATGGTTAAATCCCATCAAATCACAATTTTCAATGGTTAAATCCCATCAAATCACAATTTTCAATGGTTAAATCCCACTATATCACAATTTTCAATGGTTAAATCCCATTGAATCTCAATTTTCAGTGGTTAAATTCAATTAAATCACAATTTTCAGTGGTTAAATCCCATCAAATCACAATTTTCAATGGTTAAATCCCAAGTCCTTACCCATTCCCTAAGAACCCCGCGACTCGACAAAAGTCCTTTGGCTTCTTTCCCGCCAGCGCTTCTCCACAGATCCTGGACAACCTCGCGGCGTAAGGCGAAACCAGGATGGGGCCCCCCAGTGATGTTTGTTGCTTTGTAAACCCCATGAATACCTCGGCCCCCCAGTTGAATGTTGGAGTTGTTTTTTTCCTCCATATTTTTCTCCATTATGAAGATGATCTTGGCATCAACATATGGGCTTTTCCCATTGCCCTACAGGATGCGGCCCCCCAGTTATAAGTCGGTTTTTAAACCATGAAATAAACCCCAATAACTACAGTTATATATCGACCATAAAACATAGAATTCAGCCATTGAAATAAGGCAACGGTTCACGCTATCCAACAGGGGCCCCATCCTGTAGGAAAAACATTAATATATTATACTAGCTAATACACCTTAAAAAACTACCAGTAGTACCGCGCAAGGCGGTGGCGGAAGTTTCAAAAAAAGGAAACCTATAGGAGAGGTTGGTTGTTGTTGGACTGAAATGTGGTTGGAGTTGCGTTTTTGGAGTGGTTACAATGGTTGCAGTGGTCACCTCGTCGGTCACCTCACCCACAACTGCTGGGTGTAGTGTGGTGTAGTGCAGCTGCAGCTGTAGTTGTAGCGTAGTAGAGTTGTAGTTGTGGTGGAGTGTAATTAGTGTAGTGTAGTTGCAGTTGCATTTGTGGTGGTGTAATGGGTGTAGTGTAATGTAGGGTAGTGCAGTGCAGTGTAGTCCAGTGCAGTGTAGTGTAAAGTAGCGTAGTTGTAGTTGTAGCTGTAGATGTAATTGTGGTTAGTGTAATGTAGTGTAGTGTAGTCTAGTCTAGTGTACTGTAGCGTAGTTATAATTGTCGCTGTAGTTGGAGTCAGTGTAGTGTAGTGTAGTGTGGTGTGGTGTAGTGTAGTGTGGTGTGGTGTAGTGGAGTGGAGTGGAGTGTAGTGTTGTGCAGTTGTAGTTGTACTTGTACTTGTAGCTGTAGTGTAATCGAGTGTAATGTAATGTAGTGTAGTGTAGTAAAGGAGCTTAGTGTAATTGAGTGTCGTGTAGCATAGTGAAGTGGAGTGTGGTGTAGTGTAGCGTTGTTTAGTGTAATTAGTGTAGCCTAGAGTAGTGTAACGTAGTGTAGTTGTAGTTGTAGTTGTAGTTGTAGTTGCAGTTGTTGTTGTAGCTGTAGTTGTAGTTAGTGTAGTGCAGTGCAGTGCAGTGCAGTGCAGGGCAGTGCAGTGCAGTGTAGTGTGGGTAGTGTACGAAGTGTAGTGTAGTGCAGTGCAGTGCAGTGTAGCGTAGTTGAGTGTAGTGTAGTGGAGTGGAGTGTAGTGTAATATAATGTAGTGAGTGTAGTGTAGTCTAATGTAGTGTAGAGATAGTTGTAGTTGTAGTTGTAATGCAAGGTGTAGTCGTAGTTGGAGTGGAATGGAGTGGAATGGAGTGGGGTGTAGTGTAGTGGTGGTTGTAGTTGAAAGTGCTACAGAACCCTCACATTTTACTGACTTTTGACAACATGCAGAATTCCTTTGGCCTGCTTTGTCAAACAACATCTAAACGTCCAAAAGTGCTCCTAACCCCTCAATTTTTTACACTTTTGCCACAACGGCGTGCACTTTTTCGACATGTCAACTTCCAAAAGTTGTCCGAGACCGTCAGTTTTTAACACTTTTGAAATTGAAATGTGCTTCGCACCACAACGGCGTGCACTTTTTTCGACATCTCCACTTCCAAAAGTGGTCCGACAATGGTGTGCTTTGCACATTTTGACTTGGAAATGTGCTTCGCGCCACAACGGCGTTCACTTTTTCGACATGTCAACTTCCAAAAGTGCTCCGAGAATGGTGTGTTTTGTACATTTTGACTTGGAAATGTGCTTCGTGCCAGAACGGCGTGCAATTTTTCGATATCTCAACTTCCAAAAGTGGTCCGAACCTGGTGTGCTTTGTGCCTTTTGACTTGGAAATGTGCTTCGCGCCACAACGGCGTGCAATTTTTCCTCTCGCATCTGGCCACATGGCTCCGCGCCCGCCGCTTCAGGGAGACTACTTTTCGACCCTCCGGAGCCACAAATCATTGGCAAAAACACAGTGAATCGCGACTTTGCTACCTTTTCCCGCACCTGCATCTTCTTTCGTCTGACTCTTTCTTTTCTCTGATCTTCTCTCTTCTTCTGTTCTCTTCTCTGGCTCTTCCCACCTCTGCTTTTCCATCTGTCCATGTTGTCGGAAGTTTAACTTCTAAACTTCCTTCGATTATAAACGCCTATATATCATGGTTTCATCCTATTTCATGTTGGTAAAGCAATAAATAGTACACAATTTTAACATAAATGCTTAGTTTAAACAGTATAAACCACCACCAAACTATGGGTGGTTTATGACATTGCTTCACCAACATTACCCCTATAGTAACACTCAAGAAGAATAGAAAGGTTCAATTTATCACTATTTAAGGAATCTACTTTTCGATCCTTTTGGTGGTTGTTATAGTTTGTATTAAATTCAGAATGGCAGAAATGATGTCAGATAGAATGTCATAGTACATATCCAATATATACTTCCAGATGGTATGTCAGAAACTATGTCAGAATAATGTGCCAGGGTGGGATCACTCGAAGAAAGTAATGTGGTGGTTGAAAAACTTTGACCTATACGTTAAACCTCAAGAATTCGATAGGTAACTTTTGAAAGTCCGAACAGTTCGGTGGGTCACATCTGATTGTTGCAGTTAAATTTTATTGACATTTCAATTTCAATCATGTATATAGGTATGCAGTTTGTTCTAGGTAACATCCTTATCAAAGTCAAGATGTGAGTAAGTAAAATCCCCAAGCTTACCCGACATGCAGGCACAATCATCAAAAATCCAAATGTCAATCCGCAATTCTATGAGTAAATTAAGCAGAAACAGTTTGTGTATACACAAACAAAAGATCTATAATCTATAATGCTATTTTCATGGTATCCCACTATACCACTATGTTTATTTTCCACATCTATGTTAGGGTATTCCATATAGATTCCTATAGAATCCATGTAGATTTGTTATCAAATCACCATGAAAAAAAAACATCATATAAATATCTCATAATCCCATCCAAAATCATCATGAAAAATCACCCACAATGAACAAAAACCTGACCGGGTCAATCCATATCAATCCCCATTTTGATACATGATTGGGGATATATATATATATATACATATTGATATATGGATATGATATATATAAATATAATTATATATATAATTAAATATATATAATTATATATATAATTATATATATAATTATATATATATATAATAATTATATATAATTATATATATATATAATAATTACATATAATTATATATATAATCATATATATATATATAATTATATATAATTATATATATATATATAAATTGGATGATTTTCCTATAGATTTTCCCGTTCTTTCGACATTTTCCATGAAATCTCCGAAACTCCCCTCCACCAGGCCACATGGGCGCTGGCGGTGTGGGCGGCACGCGGCCGTCACGGCCGTCACGGCCCTGGGCCCCGTTTGCTGGCGCGAAGTCGGCGAAGCAAGGGAGATGGCAAAGCCAGGCCTCAGACGAAGATGGGAAAATGGTGGTAAAACCATAGTGTTTGAAAATGACCATTTATAGTGGATTTACCCATTGAACATGGTGATTTTCCATAGTGTTATGTTAGTTTACCAGAGGGTATAAATATGAATACTATACAGGATGGGGCCCTCGTTGGATAGCGTGAACCGTTGCCTTATTTCAGTGGCTGAATTCTATGGTTTATGGTCGATATAACTGTAGTTATTGGGGTTTATAATGGTTTATAAACCAACTTATAACTGGGGGGCCGCATCCTGTAGGGCAATGGGAAAAGCCCATATGCTGATGCCAAGATCATCTTCATAATGGAGAAAAATATGGAGAAACAAAAACAACTCCAAAAATTCTACTGAAACAAAATAGAGGAAACTACCATATATTCATATATATTCAAGGAATCCAAGGCTTATTTACCACCATAATTTGTTCAACTCGTCCGTCTTTCGTAGCAACCTCCCCTTTGCTTCAGGGCACACATCTGCGTCCAGGGTAGAGCGATTCACGGCTCTGCTCCAAAAGAGGTTTGGCAAAAGTGGAGCCCTGCCGCCATCAGGCGTGGTGGGGCAGTCGATAGCGAAGTTGGATTGGAACTCCCAACATAGGCTTTATAGACCAACAAACAGTAGTGATTTCACTATAGTTATATATATATAGTTATAATAAGGTTTATAGACCATCAAATAAAATTTATAGACCAATAAACAGAAGTGATAACTAAAGATATAATAGAGTTTATAGACCAACAAATACCAACAAACACAACTGGGACCAACTTAGAACGTCTTATAACTGGGGAGGGCCACGTTGCAGGAATCTAAACTAGGACACCAATGGGAAATGGGCTAAACAACCAGCTAGCCATGTTTGATTGCCAGACGTTAACCCCATTATATGAACCCAATGAAATCCCAATAAATCCTAGTAAAATCCCAAGAAATCCTATAAAAACATCTAGTAAATCCCATTAAATCCTGTCAAATCCAAGTAAATCCCATTTGTTTTTGACTTCTTCCTGACCCAGCCTCGCCCCAACAGACCCACCCGAGAAAATCGGTGCCCTTCACGCTCCTCCTCGAAACTCCAAAAGAGTGGATGCTTGAGCACCTTGCGACGCCCGGAGGCAATAAAGAAACACGGTACAGTTACCCATAGGATCCATGGTGCTGGTACCCTCTGGTAAATTAACATAGACCCTGGCAGATAGGGGTTGGAAGACTAGTTTCCATTAAAAATTGGTGATTTTCAGGGTCTATGTTTATTTACCAGAGGGTATATATGCTAACGTTTGGGGTATATTGATGGGAAATGTAACTATATATATAGCATACATGGATCCTATGGGTTATGGCCCCAATCATTTCCTTTTGGTAAAAATAGAGGGACCGGTTTGATATACCATCTATCATCATTGACCTGTTGTATACCTGTTGTTAAAGGGGTTTCTTCAAACCCCTCTATTAATCAACCAACCAATGGGAAAAGGACATCTATGTATGGTCCTTTGCCAGTTATAAGTCAGTGATAACCCCATTTATGGAATAAGAACCGCATGTTTCTTTGCAATGGCCGAAGGTTATAGCTGATTATAACTGGTCCGAGGATCATCGCACCGTCCTCGTGTGGTTTAATGTAACTGCCATGGGCTTTGCCTAGTGGGATAACCAATGCCTAGGGACTGGTCAGATCGCCAGGGGAGTCCTATTCTAGTGGAACTGCACTCCCAACGTATCATTTACATAGGCCTTTTTTGAATATTCAAACTGATGCCTCACAGATCTATGATAATCTCGACAAATATGTATCTGAATCTATACTACAATGGGTTTATAATGGATTTAAGACGGGTTTATAAATATAATGGGTTTTAAGAATGGGGATATAACGGGTATATTACATAGAATATATACATGTCATCCTGGGGTAGATAGAATATGGAAATGGAAATTCAAACGCCAAAACGGAAAAATGTAATATGTGTATATATATATATATATATGAAGATTCCTCTTCATGTATAGCGAGAGAGTGTTGTAACTGTCATATGTAGATAGAAAAATACGTATATGTAGAATTATGTAGACATATGTTGTATGATAGGGATATATATATATAATAAGGGTGATAGTAAAACCTGAATGGGATTAATAGAATATTCATGGTTATATGAAAAATACAGAAACAATATACCCTGCGTGCGGTTAAGTGTTGGATTTACAATCATTTAATGGGTTTATCTGTAGCTCTATACGTATACTCAACAATGTCATCCAGACCTTAGCTAAGTTCAATCGGTGGTGTCGAACATCGACAGCTCAGTTGGGTTTTTCTTGTGGCTGAACCATGGAAAATCAACAGAAATGGCTATAACTAGGAACACCCGGGAATCAAACTAATCCTACATATCTACGTTGGTAAAAGAAATTTGGTGACATCTGGTGCGTAGAGTAATTGTCACAACTATATTTAAACGCGATTTTGTAGCATGCTCTGTTTAGTATTAGGCCATAAGAAGTACTGGGGTTGGGACAATATTTGACTCAACCAAATTTAAATAGCTCTCTGGTGACTTTTCTTTTGCGCTTGAAGCAAACAACAGGATGTAAGTTACAAAACATTTTTTGCTACCAAAGAAATTTTTCGGATGGGTCCATAATCAATCCATTTTAATCAAAGGTAGATTTCAAAAGTGGCCATCAATTTTTGGCAAAAAAACATCCCGTGGGAAATCACTGGAATTGGCAATTTCAAATGTACCCTCTGGTAAACAAAACAGTTTGCTATTGAAAATTCCATAGAAATTGTGGATTTACCCATTAAAAAACGTGATTTTCCATGGCAAAATGTGAAAGTTTACCAGGCCGGGTAGATTTTCCACTTGGATCCAATATCTGCTCCCAGTGTGCCAGTGTGATGCTTCGATTCCAATCCTATCCTCGCCATGGGATTGGCCTGGCAATTTTTACTGCTTGGTGGTTGACCTACCCCTCTGAAAAATGATGGACTTCGTCAGTTGGGGTGATGAAATTCCCAATATATGGAAAAATAATCCAAATGTTCCAAACCACCAACCAGTTTATGTTTAAAATACCATCCGAAAAGGAGATATTTCTGGGATCGGGCTTTGTTCTCAGCCCATTGCTGGGATGTCCCCACTATGTCACCTTAATGGGTTTTGTTGGCTACGAAGCAGGCTGCCCAGGTGTTAACGACTGGAATACCCTCTGGTAGTGGAACAGTTGGCTATGGTAGCTATGGTCCGTTGACAATTTACCAATTACAAACGTTGATGTTCATTGATGTTCCATAGCGGCTATAGTTTACTAGAGGTGATGCTAGCATCTCTTTGTAGTCAGACTGGGAAAACGTTTCAATATACCCAACCTGGTAATGACTATAACACTTTGCTATTGAAAACTTACGGTCTTCTGATGCGATTTTTCTTTGTTTCCCGTCGTAAAAAAAATATGGAGAAACCCCTCAATCCAATGATCACTTCATCATGTTCCCAATTCCCCTCTGGTAAACTAACATAGCTATTGGAAATGGCCATTTATAGTTGATTTGCCCATTAAAAATGAAGATTTTCCATAGTTATGTTAGTTTACCAGAGGGTATTTTAAGGCCTTTTAATGTGGGTAAGCCATCCCTCAGTCAGCATTTTTTGCTTGGTGGTATGTTTATACCAAGTCATGGGTGGTAAAAAATGGCAGTGTTAAATACCCACATTACCCAATTTTCAGCATCCACGAATTCTGCTGTCCGTGCATTTTGACATTGCATTCCTGCTTTAAGCAGGACGGAGGGTGCCGTGGCTACGTGAAAGTTGATGTATAGTCATGGTCCATGTTTGATAGTCCACAAAAGAAGTATCAGTATCCCTCTTAGTATTTTTCCATTTATAACAAATAACTATAGTAACTAAAGGATTAAACCTACCATCCCAAGGTTGGACATGTAGTGCTACTGCTATTAATTCAATCATCAACTTTCTCCATCCGCAACTTTCCAGCGAAATCATTGTTTCATGGTGCCATAAATATTTTTACTATTCCTTATCCACGAAAATTCCCACAATGTGAGGCCCCCAACAGAGCTAAGTTGGTTTATAACTCCAATAACTATGGTTTATGGTATTTATAACTATAGTTACTGGGGCTTATAAACCAACTTATATCTTGGGGGCCTCACATTGCACAATATGTTTTTATTGTATATATCGTTTTTGTTGAGATCTTCTCGAAAAAAAACACCAGGGACAACGACAACGACGGGAAGCAAGCGGTCCAGCCGTCCCCAGATGGTGGCGCCGGGACGGCAAACGGATTCGGCTTTGACAAATGGCGGATGCAACCCAATTTACGAGCATATCTACTGGGAAAGTGATGATAAACATCGGACTGTCCTATGTTGGTTGTTTTTTGTTCCATGGTTTTTCCACAAAACATCTGTGGTTTCTATGAAAAACATGATGATAAACCCATGGAATTTTTGATGATAAACATCGGTTTCTGTCCTTGTTTTTCTCCCATGTATTTTCTGACAAAGCCATTTACCCTCTGGTAAACTAACATAACTAGGGAAAATCACCATTTTTAATAGGAAAATCCACTATTTCTATGGCCATGTTCAATAGCTGACCGTTAAATTACCAGAGGGTAAAACAAGATGAGGTCCTTCCGGTCACCACCACCTGACTTTTCGAGGTCGTTCAGGGTTGGTTTCAGGGAAATTTGACCCGAAACAATGGCTTCTACAACTGTAGAATCCATTATTATATATATATATCGTTGGTGGTTGACCTACCCCTCTGAAAAATATGAGTTCGTCAGTTGGGATGATGATTCCCAATATATGGAGAAATAAAACATGTTTGAAACCACCAACCATATATATATATATATTATATGTTATATATATATGTATCAGATATTCTCGTGCTTACTACAAGTTTCGCTTCATAGAATTCTGCGACTGGAAGGCTCTTTCTGTGCAATTCTCTGCTGAAATTTCATGGAATATCCAAGAGACCGAAAATTCCATTGTTAAGTCAAGTGGAAGCATGTAGGACCATGTAAGACCATGTACGACTATGTAAGACCATGTAAGACCATGTAAGACCATGTACGAACTATGTAAGACCATGTAAGACCATGTAAGACCATGTACGAACTATGTAAGACCATGTAAGACCATGTAAGACCATGTACGAACTATGTAAGATAGGTGTCTGATATTCACCCTGCATTTTTCTTTGCAACTCCTGCAAATCCGTCAGGACTTCGCGTGGGCCCTTGACGACCTCAACCACATAGCTTTCCGGGAGCTGGCGGAGCTCGATGTGACCCGTTCGTCAATGGATTGGCTGAATGGAAATCTGTTTTTTTGCCATTAACCTGTCAACCTGGCTGATATTCCTGGTGATTCACTCACTTCCTGTTTTTTTTCCATTTTGCCATATACAGGAAAACATATATAATATAGGGTTTCTTCAAGATCCACTTCTGGCAACCATTGGCTGATATTTTTCTGATGTTTCAATCAACCATCAGTAATGGTCTTCTACCCCAAAAAATGGCGCGTGCTTGGTGGTTGACTTACCCCTCTGAAAAATGATGGACTTCGTCAGTTGGCGTGATGAAATTCCCAATATATGGGAAAATAATCCAAATGTTCCAAACCACCAACCAGTTTATGTTTAAAATACCATCCGAAAAGGAGATATTTCTGGGATCGGGCTTTGTTCTCGGCCCATTGCTGGGATGACCCCACTATGTCACCTTAATGGGTTTGTTGGCTACGAAGCAGGCTGCCCAGGTGTTAACGACTGGAATACCCTCTGGTAGTGGAACAGTTGGCTATGGTAGCTATGGTCCGTTGACAATTTAGCAATTACAAACGTTGATGTTCATTGATGTTCCATAGCGGCTATAGTTTACTAGAGGTGATGCTAGCATCTCTTTGTAGTCAGACTGGGAAAACGTTTCAATATACCCAACCTGGTAATGACTATAACACTTTGCTATTGAAAACTTACGGTCTTCTGATGCGATTTTTCTTTGTTTCCCGTCGTAAAAAAAATATGGAGAAACCCCTCAATCCAATGATCACTTCATCATGTTCCCAATTCCCCTCTGGTAAACTAACATAGCTATTGGAAATGGCCATTTATAGTTGATTTGCCCATTAAAAATGAAGATTTTCCATAGTTATGTTAGTTTACCAGAGGGTATTTTAAGGCCTTTTAATGTGGGTAAGCCATCCCTCAGTCAGCATTTTTTGCTTGGTGGTATGTTTATACCAAGTCATGGGTGGTAAAAAATGGCAGTGTTAAATACCCACATTACCCAATTTTCAGCATCCACGAATTCTGCTGTCCGTGCATTTTGACATTGCATTCCTGCTTTAAGCAGGACGGAGGGTGCCGTGGCTACGTGAAAGTTGATGTATAGTCATGGTCCATGTTTGATAGTCCACAAAAGAAGTATCAGTATCCCTCTTAGTATTTTTCCATTTATAACAAATAACTATAGTAACTAAAGGATTAAACCTACCATCCCAAGGTTGGACATGTAGTGCTACTGCTATTAATTCAATCATCAACTTTCTCCATCCGCAACTTTCCAGCGAAATCATTGTTTCATGGTGCCATAAATATTTTTTACTATTCCTTATCCATGAAAATTCCCACAATGTGAGGCCCCCAAGAGAGCTAAGTTGGTTTATAACTCCAATAACTATGGTTTATGGTATTTATAACTATAGTTACTGGGGCTTATAAACCAACTTATATTTTGGGGGCCTCACATTGCACAATATGTGTTTATTGTATATATCATTTTTGTTGAGATCTTCTCGAAAAAAAACACCAGGGACAACGACAACGACGGGAAGCAAGCGGTCCAGCCGTCCCCAGATGGTGGCGCCGGGACGGCAAACGGATTCGGCTTTGACAAATGGCGGATGCAACCCAATTTATAGGTGTCTGATATTCACCCTGCATTTTTCTTTGCAACTCCTGCAAATCCGTCAGGACTTCGCGTGGGCCCTTGACGACCTCAACCACATAGCTTTCCGCGAGCGGGCGGAGCTCGATGTGACCCGGTCGTCAATGGATTGGCTGAATGGAAATCTTTTTTTTTTGCCATTAACCTGTCAACCTGGCTGATATTCCTGGTGATTCACTCACTTCCTGTTTTTTTTCCATTTTGCCATATACAGGAAAACATATAATATAGGGTTTCTTCAAGATCCACTTCTGGCAACCATTGGCTGATATTTTTCTGATGATTCAATCAACCATCAGTAATGGTCTTCTACCCCAAAAAATGGCACGCGCAAAGGGCACTCCTGCTAACCTGATGAAGTATATAATCCCTTCCTCCTAATACTAAACGTCCCCCTAATACTAAAAACAGGCATCCATCTCCAATTTCCGAAAATTTCAGGTTGGCCAATTTGACTTTTAATTGATCCCCTTTAAAAAACAATTTAAAAATCAACCTACCATTTGTGGGTTCTCCCCCCTAATACTAAAAACTAGTTCACCCCGGGGTGTTTAGTATTAGGGGGCCTAGTCCCAATCCCTCACTCCAAGCTGCCTGGCTACTCTAGCAATTAGGGGTAAGCTTCGAACTGCCATTTTTGGCAATATTTTTAATTGCGTTATATAAGGAAATTTAATTGATTTTGAGATCGGAAAAAATAGTTTTTAGTATTAAGGGTTTTAATTTAGTATTAGGGGTAAGCTTCGAACTGCCATTTTTGGCAATATTTTAATTGCGTTATATAAGGAAATTTAATTGATTTTGAGATCGGAAAAAATAGTTTTTAGTATTAAGGGTTTTAATTTAGTATTAGGGGTAAGCTTCGAACTGCCATTTTTGGCAATATTTTAATTGCGTTATATAAGGAAATTTAATTGATTTTGAGATCGGAAAAAATTGTTTTTATTATTAAGGGTTTTAATTTAGTATTAGGGGTAAGCTTCGAACTGCCATTTTTGGCAATATTTTGGTTCCCTAATAATAAATACCACCCTAATACTAAAAACTACCTGCCGTGTTTTGTATTAGGGGGGGGGGTTTAGTATTAGGAGGAAGGGATTATTTAAAATTATTTAAATTTAAGTGATATATATAAGCTTAGTTACAGCAGTTATAATTCCACTGACGACTGTTAAGGGCCACCAGTGTACCCCATACAACATCTGATGGACAATCCAGATGTCCAGATGGGCCGGCGCAAGGAGAAGTTCTCCAGCCTTTATTCATCCAGCTGTGTCGCATGGCTATGGTAAAAAAAAGTATTTGAGTAAAGGAGATCACGAAAACATCATGATCGCCCACCATGGTCAATGCCATTGACAAGTTGCCACCGCAAGCTCTTTGAGTCCTGGTGGCTCTGTTGCCAAGTGGCCTTGCTCTACCGAGACGCAAAATATTCAGCACCATGCAGGATGGGGCCCCACAGTTATAAGTTGGTAAACCAACTTAGCTATCTTGGGGGCGCCATGCTCTGCTGGTCTCGCTGCATTGATCGATGGAGTCGCGTTTGAGCCTCAAAATGCTTCTGCTGCAGCCGTGTCATCTTGTTCTTCAGGAACAAACTCAGCGTCTGTGCATGCTCAAGTTCCTCAATCATCCTGAGTTTGGTGGTTTGGTGCTTCCCTTGCAGCAAAATCGTGGAATATGATCGGAATATGTTGTAAATCAATATTGTTGAAAACTAAACTGTCATTTTGCCAACATCAACATCGCATGTTTTTGAAAAAAAGGAATGATGCCACCAAACAAACCTGTAGCACTAATGTTTGTTTGCATTTTTTGTTTTTAAGATTCACATTCCCTGATAACATGTTCCCAATCTTGGATAAGTCTGTTTGAATTTATTTCCGGATGGAAATCTCGTGTAAACTGGTGAAGAAAAAACCGTGACATTCTTCTGGTACCAAAGAAGCTGTTGAGTATACCCATCCCCCACACTGTTCTGGGTGGTATACCATTAAAAATTGTGATTTTCCCATTAACAGTGGTGATTTTCCATAGTTATGTTGATGGAAATGATATATATATATATAATGATATATATATATATATAATACTGGTTGGTGGTTGACCTACCCCTCTGAAAAATATGAGTTCGTCAGTTGGGATTATGAATATTTTTCCAATATATGGAAAACACATGTCCCAAAGCACCAAGCAGTTTTGTTCATATGTTTCCAGGACGTATTCTCGTATTGTAGATTTACACGTATGGCCCGAAAAGAACAGCCCCTAGGATGAGTCTCCTGGAGTGACGGTGAGATTCATATCTACCCTTTGTTATTGAACATGGCCCATAGATATTTCGTTAATTTACCGAACTTAAAGATGGTGATGTTCCACTGCAAACTGTTAGTTTACAAAAAAAAGCACCATCTACAGAAAAATCACCATCATTTTCCATTGGTGACCAGAAAATCCCATGCTCCCATTTTCAGACCAGTTATTGCTGGGGAGGGATAATGGGATTTTCTAGTCTTTCCTCCCCAGCTATAATTGGTTCAAAAGGGGCAGCTGTTCATGACTTCCAGGCCAAGAGCGAACAAAGTTTTGAAAAATGGTGGTTTGTGGGTGCTTATTCCACAACATATGGTAACTCATAGGTTTTAATACATCCCCAAATGAGTATAAAAGTATAACTGTAGAAACTATAACTATAAGGCTTACTGGTATAACCAAGTGATGATTGATGATGATGGTGTTTGAAAAACAGAATTCCCTACCAGTTCGATATAAACAAAAACTAGATAGGCTATGTGATAAAGCAAGTTAGGGATTCCAACCGGGGGCACCACCTTGTAGGAATACATATACATAAATATATAACCAAGACTCAAGACAAATGGCTCAAATTTGTCGAAACGAAACTTTGGGTGCAAAGAACCTTCCGGCGATGTCATTTCGCCATCTTCTTCAGTTGGAATCTCATGTTGCTAAATATGCAGTAATTCAAATCCCAAAGATCTCAAGCATCCTAATCTTATATATATATGGCAGTGTGTCAAAACCTTGTACCCCTGGCGAACATCAAAATAGCTGGTAAATGGATGTTCATCCCCTAAAAATGGTATTAATAGGTATTGATCCATACGCATATATCTTATCTATCACAATCCTTTTTAAAAAGCCACATCTGATGGACCATGCAGAGGTCTTTTACCAGATTCTCCCCGAGGTGTTTTCACGGCAAGTCTTCCAAGCGCCAAGCGTCTCATAGGGATCGGTCTTCCCGTTCACCGCCATCAGTGCATGGCCCGCCTGGTTTCCACTCGTGGAAGGGAAGATGGCGAAGTAGTCCCAAGACAATTATGGGGCCATTTAATCAACACACAAATTATAGGATTTCTTAGGAGATTCATGGTGACTTAACCAACAAACATGGGGATTTAATGGGATTTGGAGCTGAGTTATGATAGCTAAGTTGATGTTAACTAATGTCAAATATAAATATATCCATAACAGGAAGGGACGTTGTAGAGGCACAATTTTGTGGCTTCTGGTGGTGTTGATTGCAAGGAGGTTTTTCTTTGCACTAGTTGGTTGATAGGTATCCCGGATCAAACCCCAATAGACCAGGTAGTATAAAGCCCTACAAGGTGGTGCCCCCTAGTTATAACTTAGTTTATAAACCATATAGTAAGTAGTATGTCAATATATCTACCATAAAACATAGTGAAATTGGAGTTATATATGTGCACAAACTTAGCCAACCAAAATCCATCACCTACACCCCCAATTCTCTAAGCCAGTGAACGAGAGGCATCTTTGAGCCTGAGAAGTTGATTCAGTGAGTCGTGAAGATTCGTGAAGTCCCAGTCGGAAACATATTAAAACCGCATCATTGTTGGCATAAGAGCCTATCAAAAAATATCAAATGTCTATAAAAACCCGCAGCAAAAACATAGAAGACCCTTGTTTAGGTTTATCAAAATCTATCGACATGTCTATAAACAACATATATATATATATATATAAGCATAACAGCTATCAAATGTATCCAGGTCTGTCTTTGCACACCCCTTAAAACAGCCAAACATTGAGCCAGTTGAGCCATGTCCTCACCTCGATCCTTTGCTCTGAATTCAGGGTTATCACCGCGTCGGAGCTCAGGGTTTGAAGGATCAGGAGGTTTCCTGTAGCAACCGAAATGCGGTATGGAACGGGCTATGAAACATAGGATAAGAATGGGAGAATACTAGAATAGAGTGGGGATATTGTCTGGAATATCTTGAAGATCTATAGCTGATATGAAACACATGTGAATAATGGTGAAGAGTGGTTGACAATGGGTGATACTAGCTAATCCTTTCCCCCAAATGTGAAAAACACCCCCTAAACGAAACCATGGTTTACTAAGGAATTTCCACATTCCATTGGGACCATGCAATTGGGGTGTTTAAGATTAGGGTCATGGGATTACTCCAATAGATTCCCATTACTATAATATATATATATCATTATATTGGTTAAAATAACCGATATATTTCCACATATTGGTTATTTACCTTTATTGGTTAAATAACCATAATAATGGTGAGTCTTGGTGATTTGGGATAGAACCAAGGGTCTCATTGGCGGTTTCGGCTCGGCCACCACCAAGCCCAGTTTCCGCGAGCCCTGCGTGCGATGCAACGTGGCGCTGTAGGCGGAGACACCGTCGACATGGGGTGACACTTCACCTGGGGCGCAGCGAAAAATTGGATTTCAGGGATGTTTTTCATGGGACCAGCCAAAATTTAAAAAAAAACTCATGGGATTTTCACGAGATTTCATTGGATTTCATGGGATTTCATGGGATTCAATGAAATTGAATGGGATTTCATGGTGATGCTATTGGAATTGAATGGAATTGAATGGAATCTAGTGGAAGTGGGATTTCCTGGGATGTTTTATGGGCTTTAATAGGTTTCAACCAACCAAAAGTAGAGATAAATCATGATACCCTCTGGTAAACATACAAAAAACAATGGAAAATCACCATTTTCAATGGGTAAATCCACTATTTCTATGGCCATGTTCAATAGCTATGTAACAAATTACTAGAAGGTAAATCCCTATTAGTTTGATGCTGTACATCCACTTATGATGGTCAGATCCTGACTTGGATGGTTACAGTTAAAGCCCGCAATACCATGGCTACAGTGTAGGAATGCTATTTTTATGGAGTTAGAATATTCCATCAGTGGGGATGAAATCGCTGACTTAGACACCTGTTTCGGGTTGATACCTGTAAATCTATCTTTGTCTTTCTCCTGATCCATCACTGGAGATAGCACCTGGCTGCTGAAAGATGGCCGTCGCATAGAGCGCTGCAGGGTCGCTGGCGAGGGCCATGGCGCGAGATCAATGCTACGCGCGCTCCGCAGAGGAAAAGTTGTTTCTCCAGCTGAGCAACAAACACTTGGCAGAAACGATTGGATGACCCTCCAGTGTCGTCATTGCCATGAAAAGAGACCACTAAACAGGTGGATAGTCTTACTGATGCTAAACGTAATGGGAGAGGGATCCGTAACTACTGTTCACAATCATCCCATTCCCCCATTTTCTGCGTTTAGCACCAGTAAGCAGTTTGGGGATTTGCGATCCAGGGCTTCCAAAAACATGCAAAACATCTTCCCAAAAAAGGCTTCCACTTTCCTGATGGAGTTCCTTGAATAAAGGGAAAAGGAGCCAAATCATCAAACAAACTCCAGCTTGTTCCAATTCTTGAAGTTCTTGACTTGTTGGGTGATAGAAAGCCCCTGATTTCTTTTGTTTTTTTACGGTCATCCATGATCATCCACAATAGATTAGGTAGTATAAGCTCCCTACAGTTATGACCCTTGTCCAGTTCTAAGTCAGTGAAATAACATCATTTATGGATTCATAACCACATTTATCAGATTTTATAAGCATAGAAATCACCAGTTATAACTGGTATTTCAATCCATAACTGTATATATAAGCCATATGCTCCATGGCGCTGGAATATTTACCAACATTTGCCCTAAAAATCACCCAGTTTTGTAGGTAAATATACATAGTGGTGCCCCACAGATAGCTAAGTTGGTTTATAACTACAATAAGTAGGACTTATGGTAGATATATCGAACTAGTTGATGGGGGTTATAAACTAACTTATAACTGGGAGTACCACATTGTACCATACATGGAGCATATGGGTAATAACGCATCAACTGCACGTCGCGCTCCGCCTCAGAGACTTTCAGACGGTCCGCAGGATCGTGGCTCAGCAGTCGACCGATGAGGTCCGCCTGGGGCGCTCTCAATGCGCAGCAGGGGTGTCCTACTGTTCATAAACCCTGTTGGTTGATTTAATAGGGATTTAATGGGATTCAATATGGGTTTAATGGGATTTAATAGGGGTTTGATGGGATTTAATTTGGGTTTAATGGGATTTAATAGGGGTTTGATAGGATTTAATAGAGGTTTAATGAGATTTAATAGGGGTTTAATGGGATTTAATAGCTGTTTGATGGGATTTAATAGGGGCTTGATGGGATTTAATAGCGGTTTAATGGGATTTAAGAGGGGTTTAATGGGATTTAGTGGGTTTAATGGGATGTAATAGGGGTTTGATGGAATTTAATAGGTGTTTAATTTGATTAAACAAGGGTTTGATGGGATTTAATAGAGGTTTAATGGGATGTAATAGGGGTTTGATGGGATGTAATAGGGGTTTGATTGGATTTCATAGGGGTTTAATGGGATTTAATCGGGGTTTGATGGGATTTAATAGGTGTTTAATGGGATTTAAAAGGTGTTTAATGGGATTTAGAAGGGGTTTAAGGGGATTTAATAGGGGTTTAATCGGATTTAATAGGGGCTTAGTGAGATTTAATAGGTGTTGAATTGGATTTAATATGGATTTAATGGGATTAAATAGCGGTTTAATGGGATTTAATAGGTGTTTAATGGGATTTAATAGGGGTTTAATGGGATTTAGTAGGGGTTTAATGGGATTTAGTAGGGGGTTGATCGGATTTAATATGGGTTTAATGGGATTTGATAGGGGTTTAGTGAGATTTAATAGGTGTTGAATGGGATTTAATAGGGATTTATTGGGATTTAATAGGGGTTTAATGGGATTTAATAGGATTATTGATTATTGTCAAATTAATAATACAGTATTTAATAGGGATTTGAACCCTCAAACATCTTCAAAGTATGGGGAAGATGATATAAGTTGGTTGAGGAGTCTGGTTGTTTGAGCTTTGATGGGATCTAAATGGGATGTGACCATGAAATCTTAAACATATATAGGCAATTATAGGCATGTGGGGGATATAGGGGGTTTGGACTATTTACAATTTGGAAACGATGTATGGTTGATAATTAGTTATTGTCATTTAATATGGACTCATGGTGATCTAAGTAGATTATACAAGTGGATGCCCCCAAAAGCTGGTGATGACATGCTATCTGTCGACACTGGCGTGTGAGTCCGGGTTTGGGTGGGTCTGGGTGGGTGTAGAAGCACCTGGCAAATGGGGAATAGAACAAACCTGTGATACCCTCTGGTAAACAAACATAGCTATGGAAAAACACAATTTTTAATGGGAAAATCCACTATAAATAGCCATTTTCAATAGCTATGTTAAATTACCAGAGGGTACCTTAAAATCCGAACATGATCTACTTCGCACTTTGTCGGATGCCACGAGATTTGTTTTGGGAGATTTGGTGAAAAAATCTGCGCCGATTTTTCAGATCATCATTCATTACAGCTTGTTAAAGAAATATGATATTGGTATAGTTGTTGCTTGTTGCTTACACAATCCCCCATTCAGAAATAAACCTCAAAATCCCATGCATCCCCCAGATTTCGCAGGATATCCTACCGAACTGCCTGTTAAACTAAGGAACCCAGAGCGGGAAGTCTTCCAACTGATTCCAATGGGCGACCCGATGAGTGGTGATGTTGCCACAGACCACCGTGGGCTGATTGCTGGCACCAAAGGGATGTTCACCTGCGAGGTGCACGTGGGGAAACCAACGAAGTCGGGGATATCATGGGGATATCACGATGCAAATCGTCATGAAAACATCGAAGCAAAAGGGAAAATAAATGAAAATATATGGGAAAATAATCCAAGTAAATGAATTCCGACAGGAACTTTCCATATATTTTCCCATATTTTCAGGGAAAATATGGGAAAATCATCCCCCCTTGGTTTCAATTGTCATCTTTGATTACCACAGGCGACTTGGAGGGTCGTCCGGAATCGCAAAGAACTTCTCTATGGGACGACCGATTTCGAGAAGAATGATCACCTCGTTTCTTCTCAGCAGCCAAAATATCATATCAAGTTGCTTATAACTATCTGACCTACTAGACATATGTATATGTATAAATATATATATATATATAATTATATATATAATATAAGTAACCATAGTAACCCCATTGAAAACACCATAGCCACTAACCCCAATGAAAAAATCCAAAACTAACTGAAATAACCCCATTGAAACCATGGGAACATGATGATTTTCATGCCACCGGTTTCCGCGGTTTCCCCATTGACAGCCCTCCAGCCTGTGAGTAGAAAGAAGGCAAGGACTCCAAGCTGCCAGGCATCTACAGCATACTCATCCTGTGCGATCCGCGCCATGCTGCGGGAAATCGATGGCGGTAAAGCAATAATGGGAAGGTATGCATATATCGACATGATTCGACATGTATGTGTTTCTTTCAAATACATATATGCATGTATATCATTGTATATCTATATATGCTATTTATATATAGTTTTATATTTATTCTGTATACATGGGACTCTGTCTCTCTCTCTATCTACAGTACATACGTATACACAACGTAAACCATTCCACCCATGATTCCCCTTGATGATCCCTGTGCCGGTGCCAACTCTGAACACTCCATGGTAGGGATCATCATGATCCATACGAGTGATAACTCATGAAGATCATAACATATCATAACCAACAGTTGGTCATGCCTGATGAATTTCTGATAGTAGATTATCATACACATGATGATTATGATGATCATCATCATGCCCTCTACCTGGATGATCACACATTCCCTTCAAACATAGCAAGAACTCCACAACGGGGTAGGACAAATAGCAACATCTATGGCAAACTATGGCCTTCGCCGGTCCAAGTTTACCTTTACCCCCAGCAAACTCAGTGCCCCGTGTCAAATCCACAGCGTTTGCTGTAAGAAATTCGCCGAGGATCCATAATCTCTGCATCTTCACGCTTCTTGCTGCTGCCTGGCACGAGATTTCCTTCCTGAGCGATCCTCTTCTGAACTTCTGCAGGATACCTCGCGAAGCGAGAAGTGCGAAGCCAAAACCCGCTTTTGCCGCACATGGCGAGTTGAATGGCGACTTGGTTTATCAAAATATGGTTAGTTGCAGATAAATACGTATTGTTAGTAGAACCTTCTACTTCCCATTGCACGACCATGGTTTGTTTACCATCAACATATGTTCTTACAAAAAAGGTTGTGGCTCTGCCACCATTTTCGCAAAACAATAAGGCAACAAGCAGAATCAACGATCTCACCTTACGTAGACAAGGACCATCCTTCTTGAAGAGTTCGGGATTTTCCACCAATGGATTGATGGAGAATTTCAACCTTTGAAAACCACCTCCAAAAAAGATTCAGATGGAGAATTTCAGATAGAATTTAGTAAAATCCTAGTAAACTATTCTGATTGGTATTGGTATTGGTGAATCAGAACGGTTCCCACATAAAAGGGGCATCCGTTGACACGCCCGACCTCAAACCTGGACTAGATTTTTATTTCGGGCATTTTCGGGTCATGCTAGCGGCAGGGCGCAGGTCGAAAGACCTGGCCTCCGGTTAGGCAGCATATAACCCATAGGATCCATGTATGGTATATATGCTAACATTGGGGGTATATTGATGGGAAATGTAACTATATATAGCATACATGGATCCTATGGGTAATAGAAGGAAGGTTGTTCGTGGTAGTTGCGCAGCGCACCAATGTATCGGCCCGCTGCTGAAAAACATGTTATAAAAGGACCATTCTTGAAACAGATGTGCGGCCAGTTTGAACCACTGTCCTATCTTTTTGTTGGGAGGTTTACTATGCAGGAAGTCCACAGCAAGGCGGCCTCCATTCCAGGCAATGCTTCTAATGGCTTCTATAGTTTGTTTCAAATATTGTAACTATAGTGATATTACATGATATTACTTTCTTCTATAAGGCTTACAGTAGTTAACTGTATTTTCCACCTCGAAAAACTCGGAATGCTAGTTACCCCCTGGTAAACTAACATAACCATGGAACATCACCATGTTTAATATGTTTAATGGGAAAATCCACTATAAATTGCCATTTTCAATAGCTACGTTAAATTACCAGAGGGTACATCCAGTTACCCTAGTGGTTTTTGTTGCTTGAAAAACCCTCACAAAGGCGTCCAGAAGCCTCGCCACAAGGCCGCAAGCAGTGAAGCACAAGTTACCACATGGCCCATTCGTCATCTTTGGTGCTGAAACCACTCCTGAAATGCGGATCTTTCTTGAAATCATCCCTGAAAAATGGGAGAAAAAAAAACGAGGTAAACAACAACATATATAAACATCAAACACATATTATGAAAATTTGTATATATTTATAGATATTATTACTATTATCATTATTATTATTACTACTATCAATGTGTTTTCAAGAAACATGATCTAGACATGGTGGATGTTCCATATAAAAGTTTTTTTTTGTTTTTTTGCTTTTTATCTCCTGGTGCTAGGATGGCACATACGGCGTACATAACAATCATCCAGGCATCAATCATTCATTGCATCCAATTTCATCTCCTCATTAATCCCCATGCCTTTTGGCTAATCCAGAAATAAGAAGGAATTTTACTCCCACTTTTTGCTCGAGATTGGTAGCTGCATCTGCAAAAAAACAGATATTGGCATCTTCCCCCACTAAACTGCTAGCAGCCTGCATGACCTACAGTATACATAGCCAATAATCCAATAACTATTTTCTCGTGAGGATATAGACATATATAGACGATGTCTCCAGAACAGCTGTAGAGTTTCAGAGACAAACAATTTCATCCTTTAAGGGCTGCAGAATGTCATGATTGTTTTTTTCACCAACAATTGTTGAAAAAAACATCCGCAGATGTACCTGAAAAACGGGAACCCGCTAAATCAATTAGGCGTTGTCATCAATTTCCTATTTTTCACTGGCTCTTTGATTGGTTTTTCATCGATTTTAAACAAACCCAAATCTTGCAGAAATATCCAATGAAATAAACTATATCCAAAAAATATCTATAGCAATATGTCGTTATGTGTTTGGGCAAAGGCCATAATATTTCACTAACCTGAATCTTGCGGCCATTTGGGGATGATTTCCCTGAAATAAAGCATGATTCCAGGGTTCGGGAGAACAGTGAGGTCGTGATCAAATTTACCCAAATCAATCATATCCGATGACATAACCTCATTGTATCATCAAATGATGTTCCCTTGAAGGTGGTTGTGCAAATCAATGATCCGATCACAAAAAAAAAATGAATAAATCGACAATAATTCACAAGTACTTAGGGATACATGTCCAAATCCGGATTGGGGATAAATCTAATTGTTTAGTTCTTTCAGTAAGAGGATATGTACTTAGTTTTAACATGCTTTATCCATATCAATGTAGGGGTAGCTATCGCACTATGGCCTTGCTATCTCAGAAATAAGGATAAAAAAAGGTCGAATTGGGAAAGTGAGCCCTACATTCACCATCCGTCCAATGTATATAAGTTATCCAAATGTTTGGTTGGTATTCCCACATCTGCAGCAAACAAGTGACTGTAAGTGATTAAACTACCCAACCAGGGTATATCTAGAAGTAGTCCATCGTTTTTGATGGGGCTGAACATTGAGCTCGAGCTCTGGAACAAACACGATGCAAGGCTGGAATATTTGAGTCATTCCAAAGAATGTGCGCACAATGGTCTATGTGATTGCTATAGGCTATAGGATTCAAAGAAGAACCACATTTTGGGTGTGATCTCTGGTAATCTTTTTCGCCGCCGCCGAGAACATCTACCTTGAATGGATTCTCCAGGGTACACGATCGTGCCCGGTCGTGCCACCTGGTTTCAAGTTCGTGACTTTTTCCCCTTCACCATAGCCCAACAATGAAGCAAATGTGAACTGTCCACCATAGAGAGTCCGCGTCATGGTGATTTTGAACTACGCGTCATGGTGAATACACCAACAAACACAACTGAAGCGCAGCACTTTGTACTTGGGGGATACATAACCAGGGTATACCATACTTATGTATATAAACATATGTGTATAAAGGTGTGTGTATATATATATATATTGTATCGAGGTTATCTCCCAAGTAGGGGTGAACAAAAAACTGCAATCTGAGAGACTGAGCATTTCGCTGGAATTGCACCTTTCCTGCGCAGAAGTCACGTCATCGGCGCTACCAAGAAAGATAAAACGGGTCAAACAGCTTGGGGAACCTGGTGCTGTTGTGATTCCCTACAAGTTAAACTTGTAGTTGTTAGTCTCAAACAAACATTCACAGTTATGGCCCGAAATACCAGTTATAAGTACTAACAAGTCACCCCATTCATAGAATGTTTCTTATCCCATTGAAATCACCAGTTATTTCACTAATAGCCATGGCCAAAAAACTGTACGATCCCCAAACAATCAGTAGCATAGGTAGCCAACAGTTCTGTTAACCTCAGATTTAGGCAACATGGAACTCACTTAACCACAGAAACGAGAACTGAAGTCAATGAAGAAGTCAATGAAGGAGTCGAGAACCGTTTCACGGCGTTTGCACGATTTTGCACAGGTAATTTATGCATTATTTATGTAATTTCTTAGAGAAATTTTGTGTGAAATTGTTGTTCTTAAGTTTGGTTTTTGAAGTGAAAATTGCATGTCTGACCTCCAGAACACACACACAGTCACACGGGAGCTCGTGTTTGCTTAAGAACCATGCACAGTTGTCATATTTCTATACATTTGTCGGGTTTCTCATTTTGGCCTGGTGTCAAAGTTGGATACTTGGAGGATCATCATCATCATGCTTGTAGCTGGTTAACAATCATGCTTGTATAACAATGAATATTCCGGTTCTGATCGCTTTTATCCCCTCTATGTCCGTTGATGTCGGGTTGTCATCCTACAACAACTAACTGTTATAAACAGTCCAGGTGGGTAATTCTCACCCATGTCCATTGGCTATATATATCCCCATACTTGCTGGCAGTTGTTTCAGACTCCTAATGATTCACGCATACACTATCTGAACCTATGATTGCTACTGTGGATGGAAGAAATCTTGCACCACCTGGGATGGTTAAAACCCTATAAATAATGGGATGTTTACCATCTATCAACTGGTGCAGGATTTCGCAACCATCCATCAAATCCCTTCCCGAACACTTCCGCCACAGGAACAGAACAGAAAAAGTGGCCACTTCCAACAGTCAGACCAACCGATATTCACCGCAGTTCACCGTCCTAAGAAATCGCCCATCTGCATCTCATTAGTGCCGGGATCCAGGAAAACGCTGCAAGGGCCAAGACTCAAATGCCTCAGCTGAGACCCACCATCCAACCCAGATATCCTCAGATTCCTGTGGCGCAACTGACATATCCATGGCTGCCATGGAAACGAGAGTTAACTGTGGGTACAGAACAAAGAGCCGGGAGTATATAATGGCACACCCAGCATTACACAACAACTTGAATATGGGGTTTGCATTGCTATGCAACAAAATGAGGGATTTACTTCCAATATATGGCAATTTTCATGGGAAACAGTTTTTCTGTACAACATCAAAGTAAGGTCTCCCTCTATTGTGGGAGAAACCCACATTCACCCCAGATCTCAAGTCCTGGAATGGTACACAGATGGCCCAGCCACGAAATGCGGAGCGTGGAGTGCAGGTTTGCCACGTCTGAAGTGATCCTGAGAGCGGCTGCATCGATGCAGGGGTGACACTTAATTCTCCTGAGGTAGATGGAATAGGAAAAAAAACAGAGATACCCGCACTTTAATGCTGATCTGACAAAATGTTCATGTTCTATCTACTTCAACTTCAGGATGGCAATACGTATACGTATGTGTATATTATATATATGTGTGTGTGTGTCTGGTTTTGAGTGAAAATGTGGTGTAGCCCCCCAATCATAGCCATGTAAGAGGGACAATGATGATTGACCTAATGGATTGAGGGGTACCGTATTTTCAGACAATTCCATTGTACACAAATCTGAAAAACGACCAAAGAAGGGATAAACATTCCACAGATGCTGGGTGCTTAAGAATGAATGGTCCCGTGATCGGAATCTGCAAGGAATCATGAACCAACAAGACCAGCACCACGCTTGGAGAATCCTGATGTCAAACCCTACTGGAAGCACTATATTGGGGTACCTAATACCATATTATCACATAAATATGTCAAACCCTACTGGATTGTCCCGATATTAGGATTGTCCAGTAGGGTTTGACATATTAGTACCTAATCCTAATTGTCCCTACCATATCTGTTTGTCTGAAAATAGGGTACCCCCAAATGTGGCACCAGGCATCAGTTTTCTGTTGTTTCTTGGCAATGTTATGAGTATACCATGGTATACCCCCTATTCCTACTATATGCCCAAATATATAGTCTATATGCTTGTTGCTTAGCTATATCGCTAATTGTATCCCCATGACCCATCATATCCTCATTTATAGATATTTATCTGGGTAAATTATAATATTTCACTAACCTGAATCTTGCGGCCAATTGGGGATGATTTCCCTGAAATAAACCATGATTCCAGGGTGAGGGAGAACAGTGAGGTCGTGATCAAATTTACCCAGATTTATAGATCATTGTATCATCCTTTTTGCTGATGAATCCGCTCAGTTTTCCCATGATTTTCCCCCAGAAATCAACACATCTTCGCCATGGAGCTGTTGGAACCACTTGGCCAGCAGGGAGGTGGTGCCCCAGTGGTACTGTAGGCCCGCTGAGCTGGAGCCCAAACCTGGAGTCGCTGGGAAAACCCTGGGCAAAACCATGGGAAAATGGTGACGAAACAGAATTCGTGGGTGATTTTTTTCGGATTCTGCTGATTTATGAGAATCACAGTTGCGGTCATGGGATGAAATACTAACTACTGTAGGCTGAGGTGAACAATATCGATTGAATGAGGTGAACTTAGCCAGTTGTATATAACTGTTGAGGGCAATAACTATAACTGTGAAGAAGGGTTTGATTGTATGTGTGTTTTTTTGTTTCAGTGGTTTTTCTTGGATTCAGTATAGGTGGAACTCATGGACACAACAATGAATTCTAGTGGATGATCATGTTTTTTTTTTTCGCACGCCCAAGAAAGATAGGCTTTGGTAAATTCAAGTCCTATAATAGTGAACAATTGAAACCTGTTCTATCCTTTTCTCTTGCTATGGGGCTTACTATGGATGTATTTATACGTAGTTATTTTGCCATTGGGTTTAAAACATCAACAGGAAACGGATTCATCATCGCCATCTTTCCGTCGATATTTGGTATTGAATCCATCATGGAAGGTTCCAACATGATCATCCAACAAAAAAAACGCACCATAATTATTCCAAGATTATACCATATTTTTTTTCAGAAACATCATTATGTATTTCATGATCATGATCATGTATCATCATGTATCACCACATACTATGTGTATATATATATATATATATCATTGAATTTAAACCTATGTTTTTTTTGAGATGCCCCACGACTTAAGAAAGCCTTATAATATATTATATATTATATATATATATTATAATGGGTAAATCATCATAAATATCATCATTATGTATCTCATGACCATCATATATCATATATATATATATATATTTATACATACAGTTCGAAATCCTGTACCCCTTCTGTTCACATCAAAATAGCTGGTTGTTATGGATGTTCATCATTTTCCATAGGTATTTTATAGGTAGTGATCCATTTATCTATAGGTATTTCCATAGCTATCAATAGGTGTTTAATCACAAATTGTATCCATAGGTCATAGGTCCTATACATTTTGGTAAACTAACAGTTTGCTATTGAACATGGCCCAGTCGAAATGGTGGATTTACCCAGCTATAAACATGGTGAATCTTCCACCCGTCCGTGGAACGCCTTTCACCACCACATCCAAACAGCGAAGGTCCGCTGGAAGCGCCACCACAGTGGTGGCCTGAACAAAGGGCGGGCTAAGCATCGAGGGCTAAGCCATGCTAAGCCAGTTATACACTGCTTAGACATGTAGTTATATAGGGAATAAATAGGGAATATATGTCAGTATACATATATAGGAACCACAGTTAGTTATAAGCCAGTTATATAGGGAATAAATGTGGTTCTTATATGTCAGTATGATTCCCTATGGATCCAGTCGTACCTTCTTAGGAAGTGACTTGGGGTATGATTTGGAGGGTTAAGTACCTTCTCAGACAGTGTTTGGATCCATAGGGAATGCTTATAAATGTGAAATTCTTATTTCATAAATAGATGAAATGGACTGATGAAGTAATTCATGTAACTAAGGTTATACATACATATATATATATAGAATCACTTCAATGAGGTTTTATGAGCCAGTTAAAACTGCTTTATAGGGCCATAAGTGCAATCCTTGTGGATGATACCTGACCGAATGGATGATTCATACGATCGAAACCTTGGATGACGCTCGATTTTCACGGTTCCATTCCAAAACATGAAGATGGAACAAAGGCATCATTGAAAAATGTTGAAACATCTATATTTTTTTTGTGGGTAAAACAATGTCATAAATTGCACCATCCTTTAGTCATCACCATTTTTATAGGTGGTATGTTTACCATTCCCAGTCATGGATGATTTATGGCATTGTTTTACTCACATTGTTCCCAGCTAGAAACCTCCAATTTCTGAGGGATTTCCATGCATTGTTCCCTATGAAATCACCATAATCCCATGGTAAATCCTGTGTTTTACCCACATTAATCATCATTAATCATCATTAATCATCATTAATCACACCATTTCACACCATTACCATCTGGTTGTTTAACATAACCATGGAAAATCACCATTTTTAATTCGTAAACCGTCTATAAATGGGCCATCTATACATGGCTATGTGAAATAACCAGAGGGTATATCCCATTAAATCGCATTAAATCCCATTAAACCACCATTTTCCTATGGTTTTCCTATGGTTTTCCCATTGTTTACCCATATTGCAAGCACCCCCGCCGCCGAGACACCACCGTCCGGCGGATCATCTGCACGGAGGAATGGCAGTGCGCGATCCAACGCCTGTTTTTTTTTTCGAATGGCGCAGTGAGGTTGGTTTAGATTCACCAATCGATATATCATATATATATATATCATATATATATATATATATCATATATATATATATCACATAGCTGCATATATATATATATATATGTATATCTATATAATCTTCTATATACACCATAAATCCAAATTATAATCAACCTCTAAACTCTATCTGATTTTTGTTCTGTTAGAACATCTCTGAAATGTCATGGGTGCATACTTTGATTCACCAAGGTACTGCCCTAGTTGACATCACCCAAGAGATCATCCAAGTGGACAATGGTACGCTTTTTTTATGTACGTTTTTTTCGTGGACCCTCCAACTACCCCCCAAAAAAAACTATTTAAACATGATGAAAGATGATGTTTTAAATCATAACTGTGGTATCTGTTTATCAATGTTTATCAGTTGTTGGCATTTGGAACGTGTCATGATATGTTCACACAGTTATGGCCCGAAATGCCAGTTATAAGTACTAAGAAGTCACCCCATCTATAGAATGTTTCTTATCCCATAGAAATCACCAGTTATTTCACTAATAGCCATGGCCTTAACTGCATAGACCACCAGAAATTCTCGCCCACGACTGGTGCGCCAACGCCCAGGGCCTGATGTCCTTAATGACCTGATTTGCCACGGTGGCATCGCCACGACTGGTGGACAAGAGCCGCGCCACGCAAAACGTGCTGCCTGGTGCCACGGTGTTGCGCTGCCAAGGTCAGGTCGGGATGATGATTCAACGGGATCAATGTGGGATCAATGTGGATATATACAGTATATATATATACTGTATAAATATATATATACAGTGTATATATATATATATGTACTATGTATATTAATATGTAATAAATTTTGTATATATATATACTATCCCTCCAGGTCAAAGACCTCGTAAAACTTGGCCTTTTAACTTTGCTGAAAAGGACCTACTATTACTTGATGAGGACCTACTATTACTTGGACCTTTTGGGTCCAAAGTTAAGATGATGGCCATGGATGTCCAACAGTAATATATAAGATGCATAAACCCATAATTGTTGACCTAAATTTCAGGATAGCAACATCCCTTCACCGACCAAATATCCAATTTGCGGTTTATCATAGGGTACCCCACACTATTTTATCATTGGGAGTCCAGGCTGGAACCACCACAAACGTATGGTTTTTGAATTATCAGGGGCCCAGAATCGCTAGCGTGAACCGAGCGTGAACCGAGCGTGAACCGAGCGTGAACCGAGCGTGAACCGGACCAACTATGACCGGCAAAAGACCAACTATGACTGGCAAAAGACCAACTATGACCGTGAACCGAGCGTGAAACCCTAGGAACCATTTTTTCAGTGTGGAAATTTCTGCCAAACATATATAATTTCTTGAGGGGAAACGCCACGAATTTGCTTTGCATATGCTCCGGAATGTCAGCCTTAGTGGCTGTTCATTGCAACTTGGAAAGGCCCATTCGGGGCTATGATCTGTAGGTGATTGAATGCTTCCCAATCATGCATCAACAATTTCAAATGGGGTTCAAGTCAAATTCAGCATTGATGGGAAAAAGGGCTGAGCTCTATAAAACCAAGTAAACCAGAGGACCTCGTAAAACTTGGTCTTTTGCAAAAGACCTCGTAAAACTTGACCTTCCGACTTGCAGGGTATATATATATATTATGTATATTATATATATATTATGTATATATTATATATATACATTAGTATATATTGGTGATTTAATGGGATAAAGTGGGGATTGCTGTGGGATCACTAATTGTGGGGGGTATTTTTCATGGGATATACTCATCGGACTATTGCTATGTTGGTGGTATCCGTTCACTACTGACGGCCATCCCTTTCAAGGGAGGCATCCGTTACAGGTAAAAGTAGGTGTAACGTACTGGGTTCCAAATGATACGGGTTTAGCAGCTTGGTTTCACATGCGAAGAATGACGGTCCCCAGCACTATGTCAAGTACAGACTTTTAGTATCTTCTAGTGACAAGAATCAGCCGTACAAAGAAGATCAAAGAAACCTGGTGTCCCTGTTTCGAGTCAATTTTCAATTTCTGACCAGCGCAAGATGGAGCAAGGACCTTTCAATGTAGTGAGCAACAAGCCAATCACCTGAGCCTGACACATAGAATGCCAAATGCCATCTCTTTTCCGAGATATCCGCGTCCAAAATAGTCGGCTCACGATCGATTTTTTTTTTGGTAGTGGGGCAGTCCAGTTATGCTTGTTGGTATTTTTTAGCCCCATGAATGCTATAAGGTATAAATCATAAGTATCATAACCATCGGTAGTGGAGTTATGGCAGCCCCACATTGTAGGGGACCAACAGAAAGGGGGTGGGTCAGACCACCAGCCATAACGGGGGTAGCATAGGGATAAAGACAACAAGAATGCCGAGTCTAAGTCTAGAAATGGCAGGTTTACTGGGAAATCCCATGTGAAACCAGCCATAACAGGTATATAATGAGGATATCATTGGGGTTTTAATATTTGGGTGGGGATTAATCGCATATATTCAATGGTTTCAGGAAAACACAGCAAGAAAATCAATATTTGGGCAGGTGTGATTACTGTATGTAAACATAATGTAGGAGTAGCAGGAATATACAGTAGGATTGTTGGAAGGGGAACCATTTTATTGGCATCTAGTTGATGAAACACAATCAACAACATGGGCGGTTCATAGTAATATTGAGAACTGGGAAAAGCTGTAACAACAGTGGGGATTTACCAATGTCACTTGTGATGGAACTAACAAGATGGGCAGTATAACACCAAGTGTTGGAGATATCATCACGATAACCAACAAAATAGTTGGGTTTCCGCATTCCCAAATTTATAGGTCACGGGGATCCCAATTTATGACTTAATTACACTACCCTCTGGTGAACTAACATAGCAATGGAAAATCACCATTCTTAATGGGAAAATCCACTATAAATAGCCATGTTCAATAGCTTTTTGTATGTTTACCAGGCCGGGTAATATACAAAGCACAATGGGAATGCAATGCATTGTGAGTTATATGGGATGCAACTTCACGGGCGCCTTAAAGGGCGCCGAAGCACGCACCATGGAGTTTGTTCTTGGTTGAGCACAAGTGCAAAACTATGATACCATCCCATAGGATCCATGGTGCTGGTATATATGCTAACATTGGGGGTATATTGATGGTAAATGTTACCATATATAGCATACATGGATCCTATGGGCATTGGATCTTGGATATGGAGCGAACTTCCAAACAAAGCGTAAAGCTACGGGAAGCTTTTTGTGTTTCATCATGCAGAAAAAGTTGTGGACCTACTTCCGCTGACCACTGAAACCTTTTCCAGAAACATCAAACCAGGAATTCCTCCAGCTTCATCCCACCAAACCTACCAGGAATCGTTATTTAACACTTCGCCATGGTATAGATGGCCCATGTATCCATTTATAGATGCTTTGCCTATTAATAGCATGGTGGATTTTCTATCCCTAGGGTACCCAGAGGCTACCAGGAATGGACCGTGTCCAGCGCCGATGCGTCGCCTCCGCTCTCCAGGATTTGTGCTCGACGCACGTAGCCACCCGTGATGGAATGCCCGAGGCCATAGAAATTCTTCACCACCTCGGTAAGGTGAGACGAAATGCTCCAAATTTCCAATGGACACATGGTCCTATCGATGAAAATAGTGAACTGGTTGGTGATTTTAACAATCTTGAAAAATATGAGTTCGTCAATGGGAAGGATGACATACCATATATTGTGGAAACATAAAAAATGTTCCAAACCACCAACCAGTGATTATTAACCATTATTAACCATTATTAACCATCATTAACCATCATTAACCATAGATTTCATGTTTTTTTAGTATGACTTAACATGATTCTCTGATTGGAGATTTACCAAGTAGAAAATGGTGATTTTCCATTTGGCGAATGATTGGATGGATCTATACATCCATGGTAGCTATCGTTAGATGATGTTGCCGGAGTACACTCCTGTAATCAAACGTGGCTGGCTGGAGAATTCCCCAGAAAATTTGCCATGTATCCATTGTTTTTCAAGCTATGAACCTCCATTTGGTTCGGATAGATGGTATATCCATTGATATTCCATCAACATTGCATGATATACCATGAATATTCCATGATATTCCCATGGTGTTCCCATCCTATCACTACTGGGATTACCCGGTTTATTCAACTTACTAAGTTGGTTTTCCTAGATTAGTTGGTTTGTTTTAAACTGGTTATGGGATTATATAAGTTGGTTTTTATTTGCTCGCGACTTATCTACCGGCGAAGGATTTGCTCTGTGGTACGGTCTGTCTACTGTTACCCTCTGGCAAACTAACATAACTATGGAAAATCACCATCTTTAATGGGTAAATCCACTATAAATTGCCATTTTCAATAGCTTTTTGTATGTTTACCAGAGGGTAGATGGGTTTTAGAGACAAACTTAGAACTGGGGAGCATCACCTTATGCTAATCTGTGTCCCAATGTTATCCCCATTATAACCCCATGACATCGCCATCAAAAAATCACCATAAACTCTCCATGACACACAAAGTGAGGTTCCCAAAATATCTAAGTTGACGCAGTTGACGCACAGTTCACTTGCTGAAAACCAGGTTTTACAGGGGATATGTCAAAAGGATTAATGGGGTTTGTAAAAGCAACAAACATCACTGGGGGACCTCACTTTGGAGCCAGTTTCCAATTCAACACAATATCTAGATCTATATCTTTATCTATCTATATCTATAATATCTATGATATGTATATTCCATGATATCCCCAATGTGTATTCCACCAGTTCCCATAAACGTCCATTCAAAACATCATCATGGGTTGAATGAATCATGTTAAACATCATCAAACTACATCAGACTGAAATCATTGATAAAACAGCAAACATGAGCCGTGCAGCAAAAAAACTGGCTGCATCAGCAGGATGTGGTGAGCATGAGGAGCCAGCATGAGACGAGTAAACATCAGATTCGGAAAGGGTCACTAAGTAACCCTGGAAACCCATAGGATCCATGGTGCTGGTATATATGCTAACATTGGGGGTATATAGATGGTAAATGTTACCATATATACCATACATGGATCCTATGGGAAACTGTAACATCTGTAACCCTAATTGACAGTAAAAGGGGGCAATAGCAAATTGTTCGTCCCAAAAATTAGGCTTCCGGACAGGGATGATCAACTGGGGGGGAATTATTAATCCTAACTTGACATTAGTCAAACAGTACATATCTAAATTTTCGAATGGTAAACATATTCAGTTGGTTCATGATATTTAATGATATTTATATATCCCATTGTATTCCATGAAATATCCCATGAAACATCCATGTACCCATGACATCCCATTGTATTCCATGAAATATCCCATGAAATCCCCATAAACCCAGCATTTTTCTTGCTTTATAGGCCCATGGTTTACCTAATATCCCCCATGGAAGATCAACCAATGATTTCCCACCTCGCCCTTCGAGGAGACCAGCAAATCTTTCCTGGGGTCCCGGGACGTCGGAACACCATGAGAATCCAAAATGGATATGGCCGGGAGAAAATTCTAGAAAAAAGACCCGAAATGTCATTCCTTTATACAAACATATACTACATCACACTTAATTGAAAGGGATTCCAGTCATGGATTATGCTAATACTCAAGAGTTTGGGGAGTAGAACCCCTATAATCATCAACCAACAGGGGTTTTGAGCACTGCTCATATGGCCAACTTTAGATAGCCCAGAACGAATATGCTAATGATTATGTACGACTACTTCGTTCCGTTCCTGCAATGTCTACTTATTCTCAAATTGTGCTACTTTTATGTTCAATGGTCAAGCTTCATCTTTGTTTAAAGTTAAAGAAACATATCTTGATTGAATCACCATTTCTGTCACTCGACCCCCCTTTCCTCTGATGTGGACCGCTGTGGACACGAGTTCCCCAACAAAATGATCATTTCGAAGAATCAACATCATCTTTGTCCAACACCCAGTTGTTGGAAGCCCTTTCCCCTATACCGATACCTCATGAGTTCCATTCGGCATGTGAATTACATCAAACAGCCAACAAAAACATAAAAACACAAAAAACAAATCTGAAAAAACAGCCATGTTCTATTTCTGGCTCCATCTCCCACATAGTGGTGCCCCATAGATAGCTAAGTTGGTTTATAACTACAATAAGTCGGACTTTTGACTTATGGTAGATATATCGAACTAGTTGATGGGGGTTATAAACTAACGTTCACATCACTGGGGGGTACCACACACATTGTGTATATATATATATATCCCCATTATCTCCCCATTCTATATAGATACCAATAATATGGATATATACTATTATCCCATAAGCATTATTTTGGGGATATATATATATATAGGATCTAAAATATCATGGGGATACTAATCCTATAATATAGAACCATGTTGCACCTCCCATGTTCCACACGACGGTCGAGCCGCTGATCTCCCACGAACCACCATCCCTCAGGCGCCGCTACGGGCACCGGCGGCGGCGGACCCGCTTCCTCAGCGCCCGCGTTGCGCGGCGCATCGGCGTTCTTCGGCACAGCACCCGGGGTCAGCAACTCGGCCTGGAAAATGATACATGAAACACAAGTTGATAAAAGGATCATGGTCTATTTAGATTACTTAGATGATTTCTTGAACAACACAAACAACATCATTAGCCTCCATGTACCCTTACACATGGTGTTTTACCCCATAGTTTTGGTATGTTTTGGTACTTTCACCATCTTTGGGTGGTATTTGGAAGGTGTAGGTAGATCTATTCGGTGATCTATTATCAGTGAAAAGCCAACATGGGAACTTACACATGTTGTTCATTAGTTGAGGGTCGAGGGACTAGGGATGGGGACCTGTCAAAATTGTCGATACGTGTCTATACCCAGCAAAAGTGTGGCATGTTGAGCAACAACACAATTTTTGGTTGGTGAATCGACTCGGTGATTGACCCGCCCATCACAGCTACAAGATGTTACACGAGTGTTGGAAACCAGCCACGAGCCGAGCAGAAACCTTGCAAGTTGGTGGTACTTGGTGAGGGCAAAAGATCCCCTAAGGCATGATCAGTGCACCTGAGAAAAACATGGTTTTCATAGCAATGCCTAGCTGCCTAGCGCTGATAGCTTTAAATCCAGGTCCTTTGGCATCACATCGGGCACTGGGGGGGGGCGAGCGTTCTGCCGAGGTTTCTTCAAAAACAATTCTTGGGATCAAATAATCTACGGTGTACATGCTGGCTGAAAATATCCTTCTTCAACCATATGTAAGATCAAAATGCATCAACATGCACCACTGGAATTGTATGTCGTACACGCCTTCTTCACATAGCCGAAATTCATCTAGATTCTAGAGTGACTAATCGAAATACACCAAATGTCACATATCTATATTATTCTAAATACAAATTTTCACTTTGGTTGATGAGTCAAGCCTCCAAGGTTGTGACTTTTTTTTTCGCTAGTGGATCATCATTGTTGATGGGATGAAACCCATGGTTTCTTACCATGCTTCATGTGTGGTGGTCATATGAATGGGGGAGATATTTTTCCGAAAGATTTGCAATAATTCGATAGTTATACCCTTCGGTAAACTAACATAGCCGTGGAAAATCACCATTTTTAATGGGTAAATCCACTATAAATGGCCATTTTCAATAGCAAACTGTTAGTTTACCAGAGGGTAGTTGTTAAAACTATTTCTATCCCATCAAATCATCAGTTTTCATGGCAAACCCAATCCAGTTCCTTCGTGTGCTGTCGTGGCCCGGAGCCAAGTGTGCTTGCCTTGTTCTTCTTCTCTTGACTGGTGTGCGCATAGGGACAGTAATACCTGGATGAACCAAGGCAGGAAGGTTCCAGTCCGTGTGTGTATTATCACATATATATATGTGTATTATCACATATATATATATGTACTACAGACATGTATATATAAGGTATTATCACATATATATATATAAACATATGTTATCATATTTCTCCCTTATGAAACCAGTAGAAGCCTACCCTCCGGTGTCATCAAATGTGGCTGGAAAATCACCCATTGTGCCTGTCTGTTCTCAGAGCGAACGAAACCTCCATGTTTTTGGGGATTTTCCGTGGTAATAAATTCTACAATGTGAGGCCCCAGTTGGATAGCGTTCAGTTGGTGCAAATGACTCCAATAACTCTGGTTTATGGTATTTATAACTATAGTTACTGGGGCTTATAAAGCAACTTATATCTTGGGGGCTTCACATTGTAGGGACTTAAACGAGTTGACATGTCCAACTTGTCCATTTCTACTTGAGAAATCATCTCCAAGTCTTCAAGACCTCTTCCTGGCGGCTCGAAATTGATTTCAAAAGTAACATCCTCACCATTTCTCTTTCTTTTAGTGGCATTTATATATATATATATGCATTTATTGTGTTGCTGAATATTGCTGAATCTCCTTTTTTATCTGCTATAGAGATAACATTGAAACCACTCCTTCATCATTCGCAAGAAACGTTCCAAGCCCGCTCCCTTGGGGCACTCTCGGCAGTTTGTGCTCATTTCGCAAAATTTGGTCCTCGCTGGAGCGGCTTTCCAGGTGATGGGGCCCGGGGGGTCAAGTGAAATGACAGGACTTTAGCAACGCCCGACGTGTTACTATGTTTTCTGAAACGTGTTCTTTATCATAAATCAACTTCTCAAATCTTCTCAATATATCAATAATAACATTTTAAACACATATACATATATATATAACTATATTTATATATATATAATAAATCATATTTATGTTCATCTTGACTTGTTGCTTATTACCATAGTGTGTTCGCTCATGACCTTTTAGTCGGCGGCGGAAAAAAGTGGCGGACTCGTTCCAAGACTGTCAGCAACACCACGTCCGCGGCCATTCAGGATTCAAGACACGCCGAGGTGCCGGGAACTTATAGAGTACATAAGCAAGTATCTGGGTAAAACCATTCTAATGTCATTGATATTCCATCTAAACACCATTGGTATGCCATTTAATATCCCATTGATGTTCCATTCATATCCCACTATAATGTCAACCCCGGATTAATAAACCATGGTTAATAGTGGTTAACAGTGGTTAATAGTGGTTAACCCAGATGTTTTGGAAAATGGTTGTACAATGGGTATATCAATGGATATTAATGGAATAGCCATGTTTATATCCTAAAAAATCCGCATATGGAATATATCCTTAATATTCATTAAATATCAATTATTTAATATTAACCATGGTTTATTAATTAGGGGGGTACACCTCCAAAAGTCATTTCATCCAATACTGAAATGGTACCCCCCCAATTAAACAGCCGTTTGGGGTTTATTAATCCAGGGTTGACATTACATAAGCAAGTTGTGGAAGTTATAAACATACTTATGTTAGAGGGTTGAAAACCTCAAAATTTCAACAGTCATAAGTTCCATAAGTTCAAACTATTTAAAAGCCGTTGTTTGTTGGCTTTATAATTCATCGTTTTTTTTGGTTGGTTCGCAGAGCCTGCACTACAGAGTTTCAATCTCTGGAACGGTCTCCGCCGGAGAAGCCATGCTCAAACAACCACATTCATGCAGCAGACGAAAAGAGACAACCATGCATAGCCGCGCAAACAAGAACCAACCTTGATTTCAAAGATATCCTACATTTTTAAATTTAATATTTTGAAATAAATAGACTTTTACTCATTTTCAAGGCTGTGAAAATAAGAGTTCTGAGCACAAACCAGCTCCATCCCGCGGTCAAGGCCCCTTTTTGCCGACACTATTAGATGCATGGTAGGTTATATATATATATACACCATCTGGTAAACTAACAGTTTGCTATTGAAAATGGCATATAAATAACATACGTAACGTAATAAACCTGGACACCTTTACATGGAATATGCCTGGAATATTTATATATATACGTATATATTCCAGGTATAAATGGGATAATAAGTAGGGATTAATCCACTTATATAACTGGGATTTTTCATCCGCTGAGCGCTGGGATCCACCACCAACAGGATGGGGCCCCACAGTTATGTTTGTTGGTTTATAAACCATGAAAGAATCCCCATTAACTATAGTACTATAGTTATATCTACCATAAACCATTGAATTCAGCCACTTTTCTAAACCAACGGTTCACGCTATCCAACAAAGGCCCCATCCTGAAGTAAATTAAGAGATTCTCCACCACCGATTGGGGACACTCCCCTGCTGAGAAACTTCACAAAATGGCCGAGTTGTCCATGAAATTCCCACGTCAAGTCCCACTACTTTTTGCCCCAAAAAAACTGGACATGTCGGACATGTATGATGTCTTTTCAAAATGTAACATAAAGGACTCAAATTCTGCAAAGAAACAACAACTTCCAGAAGTTCAAAATAGTTGAAGCAGGCTTCGACCACAGGCATATGTTATGTTACTGATAAATGCATAACTATTTTATATATCCACCAAAAGAATCATGAACTTATGTTGGACACAACCAATTATAATGCAACTTTACCCTCCATAACTTATGTTACAATATAATATCTGCACTAGTTATAAGTCTATAAGTTCCCGGCAGTCCCAAAGTATCTGCGGTTGAATGATGTTGAATGGATGAAACTGAAGCAAGTTATAACTGGCGGGCCCCGGGTTCCTATTTTTGCCCATTGACATGGCAAACAATAAACCACTAACTTACTATTCACATCCATTCAGCAAGATTCCACTGATTCCAGGCTGCATCTTTTAGCAAACTCCATAAGTAAACCCCGGTTCGCAACCCTCGTTTACAGTGAGGTCGGCTCGTGAAGTGGCCATTATCAATTTGTCATTTGAAACATGGAGGACAATTCCACTACAAATTGCCCCAGTCATTGGACTTTTTAAGGGTGGCCTGCTCCCCTCCCTGCCACTCAGGCGCTTGTAGAACTCCGGATGGTACAACTGCTCCTGCGATTTCTCTGAGAAACAGACAACGCATCAAGGAGGCCAAGGCGCAGCGTTTTGGTTCCGTTTTGGTCGCATCACAACATATCACAACACACCCAGATCAATCAAGATGTGCAACTTTGTGCTTGATTTTGCAGGATTACATGAATATATATATATATATATGTATATATATATAAATATATGTGATTATATGAGTGGTGAAATTCCCATGCCTTGACTGGTGCCATCCTCATTTTGCAATGCGGCACATCCTCAAGTCTGTGGTCAACAATTGATCAGTGATTCCCACGACCTTTTGACATAAGGTCGGTCTCCGACACCAATTGCCATCAATTTCCAGAAAAAAAATCCAGTTCCCCGAGTAATGTTTGTTGCTTCATACATCTTCTTGACTATATGAAGTCAGAATATGTCTCAATATATCATTATAATAACTACATATAACTACCAATAATTGCCATTCATTTCCATAAACCCGCAGTTGAAGTTATGTGGCCCCCCAACGCGACTTCGTTTCCTTGGCACAAAGTGCACGCTACCCCACCTTCGGTTCCGTTCTCCTCCTGGGTATGGGCAAATTGGCACAAATCTCCTTGGTGGCATTTGGAGAAGCCGCAGAGTTCCGAGGAGTAGATGTACTTCTTGGGATTTCCTGCAGCAGGCCATTGCGGAGGTCTGGCGCCATGGTTGAGTTGCTGGAAATAAAATGAAAGAACTAGGCTAACTATGGCTAACTATCGCGAACTAGGATTTATGGCGGATACATCAATATTCAATGATCATCTGCAGGACTTGGAATTATATAAACAGAAAAAAATGTGGTGTCTCTTCTTGCCCCTTTCTCCCCCACTCTCTCCAGACCTCTGCTTCTCAGCTGAAAGACCCGCATACAAAACAAAAAAATGTGGTGCCCCCCGAGCTATAAGTTGGTTTATTACCCCATCATAACCCATCTAACTGCCCCACCTCGTGGCCGGGATTCCAAAAACCTATTTATCACTAGCTAGACCCTGCGTGTGTACCCTAAACATGCTGTTTTCCCGCACTTTCTTCGGGTGTTTGGAAGGTGGTTTTTCTGTGCTTACTAGCAGGGCGGGGCCCCAGTTCGGAATCGCTAAGTTGGTGAACATAACTATAATAACAACAGTGTATGATACTTGTGATTATATTTAGATGGGCTTTTCTCAACCAACAAACATAACTAGGGGGCCCCATCCTGTATGTGTTAGTGGGTTTTGGCCAACCTCTATCTTCTTGGGGGTTGCCATTTTCTCAGGGAACCTTGGACCTCGCCAAGCATCGCCGTGGTAAGGACGCGTGGGAGTACTGACAACGATCGCCAAAGCTGCAATGTCCTGCCGCTGGACGGGGTTGGTGAACGGCTGGACTACTTAAGAAGAACTCATACAGTTAAGGCCATTTAGTTATAACTTGTTATTTCTATGGGATTATACATTCTATCAATGGGGTTCTGCCAGTACTTATAACTGGTAAAGGGCCATAACTGTAGTTATAATATTACCCATATGCTCCATGTATGGTATATTTACCTACAAAACTGGGTGATTTTTGGGGCAAATGTTGGTAAATAATCCATACATGGAGCATATGGGTTCTACATATACTTCCAAGCACCTCATGAGAAATATATTTCAACCCTGAAAGTCACTAACCCACATCACTTTCTCACCATGTCTTTGGAAGTCGAAGTGACAAGATGCTCATCCTAGTCCACACAAAGGACCGAACCATGCGTCTTGTGCTTCATACGTTGCGACATGAACATGTTTCTGTCTGAAATTGGGGGACACACCAAAAAAAATGGTTGGCCAGTGTAAACATACAAAACAAAACTGGATTTTGGATATGTGAGTGTTCTTCCCAAAAGCCATACGACAAACCAAGACACTTACAGGGTTTAAGATTATGGCCCTCTAAGCCAGTTATAAATGATTTTTTAACTCAACACATGTAACAAAACTCAAAAATATCACTTGAAGGCGTTGCTTGTTCGCCAGTTACAACTGTCACGGCCTATAATCAGCTATAAATCCCATGAAGTCTTCTTCTTTCTTGGTTTGATCACCATTTTTCCATGTTTTTTCCATGGTTAAGTGCCTAAGTCACCATTTTTCCTATGGTTTTCCTGTGGTTTGGTTAAGGGCCATCTGACATCATCCAACCACGTAGATGGGCGACAACTAGTGAACTAGTTAGTAAATGGAATGTCATTGGGATATGATATATATGATATATATATATATAAATACATATACATATATATACATATATATATATATATACATATATACATATATATATATATATACATATATATATATATATATATACATATATATATATACACATATACATACATACATATATATATAGCGGGTTATAGATTCTAAACCCACACAAACTCAACAGGAATCGCCTTTTTTGCGATCGGCCCATCCGCCCCGCCTTTCGCCACCAAACGTTCGCAGGGCTTTGTGCGGAAACGGGCCAAGCTCTTGTCGTTCAGAAGCGAAGACAGCGCCATCGTTGTCTGCGGAGTGCGGCGGTGAGAAGAAGAGGATACAGCACTTACCCTCTGGTAATTTAACATAGCTATTGAAAATGGCCATGTATAAAAATGGTGATTTTCCATAGTTGTTTGTATGTTTACCAGAGGGTAATCATGGAAAAACTATGAAAAAATGGTGATCAAACCAAGAAAAATGGTAACTTCATGGGACTTGTCGCTGATTTATAGCCCTCGACAGTTATAATTGGCGGGAAAAAACATCGTTTAAGTGATATGTCTCACCTGAGTTAAGGAGTTATAGTCCGTCTAGTTCAGGGGTGTGGGAATTTGAATCTTTTGTATTTGTATCCCATGATCTTGCATTATAACAAACATGTATTCCTAGCATATTTTACATGACAAACATGTGGCACTTTTGGTAGTAACATAGGATACCTACATGATAGAACGAGTCTATAATTAGCAAATGGGGATAATGGGGATATACATAAGAGGGAACACATAAAACATAACATGAGCTATGTTCAACAACATTGTTTAATGATTACTACCATAAGTTATCATAGATTATCTATATACCCTCTGGTAAACTAACAGTTTGCGCACTGGAAAATCACAATCTTTCAGTTCGGTAAATCAACTATAAATGTCTATTTCTATGGGTTATTTTCTATAGCAAACTGTTAGTTTACCAGAGGCTATATATGTATATATATACTGGTTGGTGGTTTCAACCCCTCTGAAAAATATGAGTTCGTCAATTGGGATTATTGTTCCCAACTGCATGGAAAGTCATAAAATTCATGTTCCAAACCACCAACCAGATCTCATTTAACCATTATTAACCACTATTAACCCATATATCACGACAGCTAAAGCAACATCTTGTTGGCAACTCTGGATCATACCAGGCAACTCTGGAAGAGTTGCGTGACTTGGATACCTGATCGAAATGATCGAAGAACAGTGCAGCTGTAGAAATGGTGAAACAATGGTAACTACGAAACATTCTACCAATTTGTTAATAGTGGGTTAATAATGGTTAATAATTGTCAATAATGGTTCATAATGGGTTAATAATGGTTAATAATGGGCTTATAACAATGGTAACAATGGTTCATAATGGGCTTATAATAGGATAAACCATCTACCAGCTGGTGCAGGATTCCTTCTATCCACAGTATGACCAATGATTTTTCCGGAATTTCATGATGGAAACACGCCTGGATACAACCCTCTCATACCTATCCTATCCAATTCCATTCAATTCCAGATCAAGCATCTCAGAAAACCATCATATGAATGAACCACATTTGAATAACATTGAATAAATATGTAATACAATGTCGTACCCCCCAGTGATGGCTATAAGTTGGTTTATAAACCAAAGGAATAGTATGTTGATATACCTACCATTAACCATAGTGAAATTGGAGTTATAAACCAACTTTGCTATCTATGGGGCACCACTATGTATAAATAAAAATGTAATATATAGTTATAACACGTAATAACCAAGAGTGATTTTCGACAGTGCATACTATATATATACTATGCACCGCAAACCCATGCACCTTTCCTTTCAGGGCCAAGTTTTGACATCCTTAAACTCCATTGAACAGTTGACTAGCCAGTGGCAAAAACCCTTGGTTGAGCAAGCACCAATGGATGAGCCAAGTATACAATGGAATAAGCAATCAAAAAGAATCGATGGAAAACCAGCCCTTTAGTTGGATGATTTTCTGTTTGATTACGGGGGGGTACAGGTACAAATCATTGTCTACCAATCCTGTTATGGCTTCCGAATCCTGTTTAAACCAGGAACTATACTATACACTTACTTGCTGTACTGAAACAACAAAACAGCACCGTCAACGGGCACCTTGTCAAGTGGTCGTTGAGTTGCGTTGCGTGATACGGAGCTCAATGCAATGTCTTCCAGTGCGCTTCTTTCTACTGCGACCAACATATCTTTGAATATGTTTGATGCCTATAGCATTGGCGAGCCGGTGTGTTGCCTGCATGAGTCATGTCAAACATGATGGAACTTGCCAAAGTGACCATGATCCTATCATGAACCTCAACAAAAATCATCGAACATCTCATGATCCTATCGGATTTCGAAAAAAACGGGTCCCATTTTGTTTGACGTTCTGAACGAAAAAAGAACGAGTCATTTTCCACACCATGGCGACATGTTCTGCAACAGCTTAGGCAACATTCATCGATGATCCTTTCGTACACATGTCCATATTCCATGGCGACTCGCGGGTCCAACCGAACCTTTAAGGGCGCACCCCAAGGTCAAGCTGTTTTTCGAGCCGAGGCCAGATGCGGCGCATGCGGCGATCTCGGGTTGATCTCGAGCGGGTTTGTCTGCAGTTAAACTGGCAAAAAAACACTCATTTAAGTGATATCTGGTCGGTGGTTTCAACCCCTCTGAAAAATATTAGTCAGTTGGGATGATTATTCCCAATATATGGAAACATGAAAAATGTTCCAAACCACCAACCAGATATTGTTCACCTAAGTTGCAGGAGTTATAATCCCATGGCCATAAGTGTGAAAATAGGATACCCAAAACTTAAAAGCTGAAAAAAGGTTCATGATCTGGATTTCAACTCTGGTCTTAGACAACATGTTGTAACCTGGTGTCTACCCAGTGCCACCCCAACCATCCCCAATTTCAACTGATTTCAGGGATTGAACCCCTCCAAAATCCGAGCACATTTTGCACCACGCTGATTTAAAACCTTGGCAGTAACCGATGGGAGCCCAAGGTAGATGTTTATGGAAGGATCCAGTAGCTATAGGCCTTAACAGTTAAATATGTAAATAATAATATAATATATATATAACCTTAGTTGCAGGAGTTCTAGTCCCACTTGTAACTGTTAAGGGCCATAACTGAGGTGGATATGTTGGTGACCAGAGCTAACCTCCAAACCAAGCATTTGTTGGCGAGCTAGGAAGGACCCGAAGTCAATGGAATGTTTAATGGGACAAAAACATCTATACATCAGAAACTCCATGGAAAAACCATGAAACATTGCTATCTATTGCTATCAGCAATCAGGATTAACATGGATTAACCAATATGAACCATCACAAAAATGGGGATTACCTGATTAGCTGTCGATATGGAAAACACATTGGTTTCTGGAGAACATTCCTTTGTCCAGTCCGAGCATCCCTGGGTCCCTAAACGTCGTTTGAAACGACGGGGAACACCTCGGGGATCCCCTAGGTCCGGTCGGTGACTAAGTCATCACTGGAGGATCACTGGGGAAACCATGACTTAGGAAACCTCCATGTCTCGATTACCCTCTGGAAAACTATAGGAAAATGGTGGTTTAATGGGATTTAATGGGATATAACCTCTGGTAACTAACATAACTATGGAAAATCACAATTTTATAGCTGGGAAAATCAAGTATTTCTATGGTCATGTTCAATAGTTATGTGAAAGTTTACCAGAGGGTCCGGGTACGGTGGAATTTCATGGGAATATCATTTGGAATATACTGTTGGACATCCCATGGATTGGAAACCTGTCGAACTTACTTGATCTTTGTCAAACAAAAACTTGGGAGATCAGCACTGTTGCTGGCCGCATCAGATCATCATATCCTTCTTAGAATCAATACTCGGACTTTCCGGCTCTTGGTGATCTGGATAACAAAAAAAGTCCTGATTGCTTGGAGGATTGTCCGGCTTGTATAGTATAAATCGTTGCATTTAATCACATTGTCCCACTTAGTAAGTGGTTTATAACCCTGCTTGGAAAGTCCCCAAATTGTGGAGTTATCTCGTATGAACCATTCAAAATACATCAAAATACCCTATCCCATCTCATTGTAGGAGTTGAACTCGATAGTTTCTCTACTATATGGGTTAGTTCATAATCCCCAAAAAGCTACAGGATGGGGCCCCATAGTTATAAGTTGTGATATAAACCATGAAATAAACCCCATGAAAACTAGTTCGTTATATCTACCAGAAACCCTAGAATTCAGCTGTTCGGCAACGGTTTACGCTATCCAACGAAAGGCCCATCCCTAAAGCGCCAAGGCACCAAATCCGTACCTGGAGCAGGGCTCTTTTCAGGGCGAATCACGGGTTTGGCTCATGGTTTTTTGGCTTGCTGAACCATGGTGAAAACGAGGGTTTTTGTTGATTAGTGGAATTTAATTGGACATGATAGGAATAAAATGGGAATGTAACCAACAATAGGGGCACAGAATGGGATAAGGATGTAATGATAATGATTATATATATATATATATCCCTAACCCCCGTTCATATTAAACAATTCCCAGGAACCATCTTTTAGTAGGGATTTTACATATTTGAGGCCATGGAATGGGGTGTTTTAATATATTAGGTGGATGGGATTGAAGAACAAGGAAATGAACATATAAACAATCGATGTTGGCAAACATAAAACAAATGCTGTGCCATGGCCAAGTTGCATAGGATGAATTGCATGTGGTCACACACCATCAGCAAGGGTTCCTTAAGTGGGTATATCAATCCCCATGAATGGTTCAATTCTCACTAGTTAACTAAATTTTAGTAATACTTAGTACTAAATATACAACTGAATGGTAAACCCATCAATATTCCAATATCTTCCCATCAAAATATCCATTTCCATGAATTTCCTATCATATTCCCATGACAGTCCACCGGTGCACGCGATACTCGGCGCTCTGTCGCGGCTCCGCGTCTCTGGGCGCGCTGGGGTCCTCGAAGGCCGTGTGGAAACAGGTCTTCAGCTCCGGCCGACCAGCTTGACCTCGGACACGATGAACAGGTCATGGGAGGACTGAACCAAGAGTGGGGATCAAGAAAAATGATAAATTGAGGATAACTATATGGTTTATGGTAGATATAACTAACGAACTATAGTTTTCATGGAGATTATTTCATGGTTTATATCCCAACTTATAACTATGGGGCCCCATCCTATAGATGTAGATTGTTTTCCGAAGCTGTTGCTTTTGGCACTTTGAAGACATCTTTGCAGTTTACCGAAATCTCCAAGTTGGTTAGCTTGGGTTACTTGGAGGATCACACCCCATTGTTGCTGTTGCTTCCATTTTGCACGTTTGGTGCAGCCCATTGGACGTTTTGCTTGGGATATTTTAGTGGATGATATAAGTTCATGATCAACATGGAAGAGGTGGGAGATCATCAACGACTTGATGAAGAAACAGATGCTGCAACGTTGAGAGATTAAAACGTAAATGATGTATGCAGCATTATGCAACTAAGGCATTTGATCGAAAACAGTTTGGGTTCAACTGGGTTCAATGGGGGTTGCTTAAATAATTTGACCAATTCCAAGTAGAATTCTTCTTTCGCAGAAGGGGCATGCAATCAATCCACCCGATGCAGAGATTGATTCCTTGGCAAATTGGAAAATGTTGAGCTGTTCTATTCCTGGGTTGGCTGTAGCACCATTGTGCAAAAACAAGTGTAATATGATAGCGATTCCCCAAAAAAATGAAACAAACACCTACTACAGGAGGTAAATTACTTTGCTATGTTTTGGGAGTTTCTACCTTGCTACGAGCATCTTTCCAAGGTTACTGCTCATGTTACTGTATCCCATCGTAGTCAGGGGAATCGGCAAGCACCATGCTCATGCCCTTGCCCTTTCTGTATGGTACAAAGGTGATGCCCCCCACTCGTAAGTTGGTTCATAAACCCATATATAACTCTATCCCAACAGTTAGCCAAGTTCTTAAAAACCAACTTAGCCAACTCCTTGCGGGATCATGCCACTTCGTAATTGCTTAATCACTGGCTGAGAAAAAATGTTTCTTACGCAGTTACGAGTATGGGATGATCCTCCAAGTAGCAGAGCTTCAGAGCTTCACATGGTATTTTCCAAGACACTCTTGAAGTACTGAAAGGACTTGAACACCAACACCTCGTCTTGGGTCATGTCCTGGCTCTCAAAAATCCATCAGATGAACAGTTTGACAAAAACAAATGGAAAACACAGTTTTGCATGCAACAGAAATCAGGTAAGAACCACCACAAGTTGGGATATAGCCCCTATGGTTAAATTAATGGATATAACATCAAGTTGAATGGATGCATGTTCGCTTTTCGGGACAGCAGTCCCCCCAGTTTTTGGCATGGTCTTGTTTTTGTTGGGTTAGGAAATACATGGAAATACCAAACAAGACACGTACTAAAACAAAAAAAAACTGTTTCGTCCCCCAGTTGCGACACAATTTTGTTGTGACGGTGTCGCTGACGAGCACTGAACAGTTGTGAAATCTAAGCCAAGTGACACCTTCAATTTTGCCCGCATTCAAGAGTTTCAGATGAGCCACATGAATCAAGTTATAACTGCACAATAATATAAAATAATCATATTTGAAAAAATAACACTTTCTGACCCATCAAAATGTTATCACCCTTTTGTTTGATACCTTGCCAATCTTGGATATCCTGCAAAACAAATAACTGGTTAGAACATACGTCCATGTTCAAAAAGATTCCATTACATGAAAACACCCAGCATTCCTTTTACCCAACATCTATTCCACACCCATGCTGCTTGTTTGTGAAATCCCATATTTTTTCCTTAAAGCTAAAAATGCACTGTTTCTTCATATCCCAACTGAATTTTCTGGGTGAAAATATCAGGTCAATTCCACCATGCTTCTCCCTCCCATCACCATCCAGCGGCACCGGGTAGTAGAACCAGCGCTGCTCATCGTCGTGCGCCAGACCCAACATCTTCACGTAGCCCAGGTCGTCCCATTTAATGTGGATGCCGATGCAGTCCTACGAGGATTTCAGCAAAATCCTCGTTTAACACTGGGGATATGGGATATCCTCAATGGGAAACCATGGTGATATTAGAAGTGGCGATATCATATATGCCATAATTATGTATATATGGCCATAATTTATGGTGATAACAGTTGGGATAATTATGGGATATCCTTAATGTTCTCATATGTTCCCATGGTGATATTTAAAAGCTGGTGATATTAGAAGGGGATATCACTGGGATATCACTTCCAATTGTTATGGTAATAATCCTCAATGTTCCCATGGTGATATTAGAAGTGGATTTTGTTTTTTTTCCGATTGTCCACACCATATTTCACCTGGTTTCAAGTGTTTTTCCCCCAGCAAAATGGTTTTCCCATGTGATTTCCGTTTGTCCCGCGAAGCCGAAGCGGGCACGGTGTCCCGCACCCAAAAAGAGCTCCCAAACTTGGGTTAAGCTTACTGTTGCTTCGCACCTCAATTCGGGTGTATATAGACCATAATAGGCCGTTGTTGGGTTTACCCTCTGGGAAACTAACATAGCTATTGAAAATGGTGATTTATAGTGGATTTTCCCATTGAAAATGGTGATTTTCCATAGCTATGTTAGTTTACCAGAGGGTACACCCACCCGTTCCAGTGGTTGCTTGTATCTCATTCATCCGTAGTGGTTTGTTGCTGCTTTACCATCCATCTCGGATGTTTATTCTACAAAGTGATAGCCCCCAGTTATAAGTTGTTACAGTTTCATCCACCAATCGATAGACATATGATATATCTACCCTCAAACCAACACTTGACATGCTTGTTTCCATCAAGATTGCTAGGCAGGATTACCAGATTGGTTGGTTACACCCCACTTAACTCACACTTGTTGATTTTGTTGCTCGTTTGATCAACATATTATGTTGAATTATAGACAATTAAGCCTAACTTAGCCAACATCATTGGTAGCTTGTATTCTCGCATACATGTTCCCATTACCTTCCATCAATGGCAAAGGGCAGCACATTGTACAAGGTGGTACCCCTCGGTCCCTAGATATATCCTAGGTTTAAGTTGGTTTATAACTGCCATTAACTAGTTCCACATATCTACCAGGAATCCTGGTGATATGAATCTTTTTAGTTCCCAGCTCCCCTGTCGAACTTCTAGTCGTTATCTATAACCACAATATCCCCAAAAGGGAATGTTATGTATAAATGACCATTATATATATCCCCCACCAAAAAAAAGGTAATTATACCAGAGTGGCTGGGAAGCGCCAAGTAACTCCCAACTTTGCTAAAGACGGCTATGGGACACCCAGCAGAGGATCTTTTCAGGACACCCCGCAGCAGCAGGCTGCCTCCAGCTTTACGCTGCCAGGGTCACAGACGGCCAGCGGGGCCTTCTTGACCTAAGCGGTCAGGAGGTGTGGAATCCACTCGGAAAAGTATATACGTTCTCCAGGGTCATCAAACGTGCGTAGCTGTAGCTGGGAAAATCCCGAAGTCAATGGAGGCTTGTAGCTGGGGAAAATCATCCACTCATCCCCCACAGTATTCTCACTATTTCCCCTAACAGATCACCATTACTGGTTGCTTCGATTCCCTCATCAGTGAACACGCCATCATATCCCACCATCCCTATCATCCCAATAAAAACCTCAAGAGTCCCTCATTGTCGGGATATCTTCATGTTCCCTTTTATATTTCTGAGGATCATCCATTTCTCCATTGTAGCCCCACAGGGTCATTCCCACCAGTTATGTTTTTTGGTTCAGTTTCACTATAAGTTGTACCCTCTGGTAAACTAACATAGCTATTGAAAATGGCCATTTATAGTGAATTTTCCCATTAAAAATGGTGATTTTCCATAGCTATGTTAGTTTACCAGAGGGTAAACCACCTTGACTAGCAACTTTGGGCACCACCTTGCACTCACGGTTTGATCATCGATATTGCACTGGCATGCTGCCTGCTGCACCCTCACCTGGTCCACCAATACCGGAATAGCCTGCGAATCAGTGAAGATCATCTGGCTTCTGTCTGGTCCACACAGGACTTCTTTGCTAGCTTCTCAACTGCTGAATCCTCTGTGCCTTGCGGACTTGCGGCCGCTCGCTTCTTCAGGGTCTTGGGCACCACATCCGAGTGGAACATGGGCTCTCCGACTTTGAATGGAAAAGATCTGCACACGAGCGTTTCTGTGCAGATTGTTGGGATATTGATCCCCCCAAAAAAATACTGGCCCTCACGAAGTCTGTGCAGTTTGCTGGGATATTGCGCTGCCCACTTGACGCCTCATGAGGCACCTACCCATGCACCATTTCATAGCAATAAGATACTGACATTCACAATAATTCGCATCCTTTATCACAATCCTGGGTCCAGTATCCCATTCGTTTTCCTGTGTCCAATGATTTCTCATGATTTTTCTCATGACTTCCTGTGAAAGTCCAATGTTTCCATCGAATGTTTCTATTAAGATACCGCAATTCTCCTATTTTCCCCATGTTTGTCCTAAGTTTTCCCATGATTTTTCGATGGTTTCCCCATTTTTCCATAGTTTTTCCATGGTTTCCCCAGTCGAAAATCACCCAAATTTTCCCCCAGGGTTCCCCCGTTTCCGTCCAAGCTACTGGGCCCTTCATGGGCGCCACCGGGCGCCAGAAGTTCACGGCCATGAAACCTGCGAGGAGTTCACCGTACGGAATGGATGGGTTGCTGGGGGTTGCTGGGATGATTATTACTAGTGGATCATTGAACCATCATTGATATCTGGTTGGTGGGTTTGACCATCTTGAACAATATTAGTCTATATATATATACAGAATACCTATACAAAATATCTATATATACCCTCTGGTAAACATACAAAAAGCTATTGAGCATGACCAAAGAAATAGTCATTGACAATGGGTGGATTTTCCATAGTTATGTGAAACTTTACCAGAGGGTAACCAACAAACAGTTTGATCATTGGAATGTAATATTGGGGTGTAGCTTATGAAACCTGTTACAATCCATTCCCCCTATTCCCCCCTAAACGAAACCATGGTTAAGCTACAAGGTGGTGCCCCCCAAACGTGATGATGATGTTTGTTAGTTTATAAACCATAGGAACAGTATGTCGATATATCTACCATAAACCATAGCTATTGGAGTTGTGGTCACCAACTTAGCTAACGAACTGGGGCACCACCTTGTATATATATATAACTTATAGACCTATATATATATACATACAACTAATCAACATGATCCATATGATCAACAATAAATCATATAAAAATGGTACACTATATAACAGGATATAATTATATAACCGTATGAATGGGATATACAAATGGGAAATTATATATGATAACATATGAAGTATATAAAAGTGGGAAATATGTTTGTATACCAATGGGAAAAAATGGGATACATAGTCCTAACTAACTAATCATCAGTGGGATATATCTACATAACAAGAGTGGGAGATATGATTATGCAAGAATGGAAGATACCAATGCGAAAGAACATATGATAAACAATGAAGTATATAATAGTGGGATATCTGACCAACTAATCAACATGGTTCATACGATCAACAATAAAATATATACATAATTCAGTTGGATGTACAATTAATAGTAACTAGCCACATATATAGGAATTGGACACTATATAATGGGATGTGAAACTAACGAGGATATATAAGGTTATATAAGCAAGTAGGTACTATGATGGGATAATAGTGGGATTATGATTGGATAAACGTGGGATAGTAGGATAATAATGGGATACAATAGACACAGAAATATACGGGATATATCATGGGTACATCATGGATATAACAAACTTACTATGACTAACCGGGTATGGTCATACATCCCACAATGGGAATCCCAAATCATGAGTAAACCTCTACGAATGGATTGATGGCCATCCCTCAATATGGGAAAACATACATACTTAGACTGTAGCACATATGCTTGTGGAAATATAGTCACCTTGGAGTAGGTAGAACGTGAGAATGTATGGAATTGTCCAAAGCAAATCAGCAAAATGTGAATATGTCTGAACACTCCATATTCTATCTACTTCAGGATGACTATAGATGTATAATTTAGAGCTATAATTGTTTTAGGGTTGCGATTGCCTTTGATGAACTTCATTGAAGAACTTGCTTTTTACGACGGCGAAACATCGGCTTTTGTTGGGATTGGTTCAAGGGAACATTTTCGGGCATCCGAAAACCATGGTGTTTGCCAGCAAACAGAGGGGTTTCATCCATGAATATTACATTGTTAGCTAGCTTAAGGTTTAATTCAGAAGGGTGACTGGCACAATGGTGAGTAGTGGTGAGATATGGTGAGTAGTGGTGAATACAAATCCGTATATTTAGATGGGTATATAAGCCAACTAAGATGCCAAACACTTCCTTCGGTACCTTCAACCGATTCTTGGAAACTGAACCACTCCATCACCTCACCATCTGGCCACCAGCCGACTACCCACCCACTACGACCAGCCATGGCCTTTCACGGTAGGCTCATCGAAGCGCGACTTGAAGCCGTTGTCCATCAAGGGCCAATCTTCTGCAGTGAGACCATAGTCCTATTCCGAGCTGCCACTGCTACAGTACCGACATCCCGATTCGTCATGAGCTACGAGCTGCGCTGAGCAAACAAAAACAAAGAAACAATTTTGAGGAAACAGGTGCTGTAGTTGGAAGGAAACACCGACTTACTTGAGGTTTAAATCCCGAATCTTTGCATGAAAATTAGCATGAAATGAGGATGGGTCAAAACTTAACAATGGGATATTTATCTTTGCACAATTAAAAAAAAACACCAACACCTGCTATCCGGGACGTACAGCTGACCTTCACTGGCACCCCTGGGCCACTTAAAACCTTGCACTGGTCACTGAACCACCAGAAAACGGTGACTTTCAGTGGTTGATAAAATGACAATCACATGTATTGTTTAACCGCAACTATTAGTGCTTTATGCTTTAAACTGTTTGCAAATCTTAGACTATTTTGATTTGTCTGAGCATATGGCGTTCCCCAATTTTGATGCTATTAAACCTTATTTTCCGACCCTTTGAAAACACAATTTTGATTTTGGCCTATCATCAAACCATCTTTCTACCATGAATTGCCGACCGTTTCCGGGTCACATTGGTCACGCTGGTGGTCGACCCCTCCTGCCTGATGCACTGCAAAGGAGTAGGTTGGATTCTTGGTGCCGGGCCCTCGTCGCGCACACAAAGGATCCTGGGCTTCGCCGCAGTCAGCTGGTGATGTGGACAGGCCATCAGCTGGGGACATGGTGCACCCCAAAACAATATGGGATGCAGGGATATATACACTATATATATATACACATTCACATACATGTATGCAATATATATATATATATACATACGCACGCATGTATGTATGTAATGTAATGTAATGTAATGTAATGTAATGTAGTTTATTGTAGTGTTAATGTAAGTGTCAATATGGTTGTGACTGTAAATGTAAATGTAATGTGAATAATGCATGTGTATCACGGTGAATGTATCTATGCAAATGTAAATGTTATTGTATTTACATGTATACACTATACATTGTATGGATGTATATACGTGTGTACGTACATACATACACATGTATATGTATATACGTGTGTATGTACGTGTGTGTATCTCTCTATATATATATGTATATTCGTATATTCATATATCTATGTATATACATATATATACATATGTATGTGTATATATATATACGTTTGTAAATATATATATATAATGTATATATGATATATACATACGCATATATATATATACATAAATATATATATATATATACGTGTATATATATATGCATATCAATATATACATATGTATGTATATTTGTAGACAGTACTTATGTATATGTAACACTTCCAACATAAAATGGTAGTCAGCCTGCAGGAACGATGATGTCACCTCAACTAATCGTACTATATATCACACTTTTTGATTCATGAATCAAAGAATTCTCTTCATGCTAACACTTGCAAGGTGGTACGCCAGGACGCTAGCCAACTTGTTGTTTCACTCTAAAAACTAATAACGTTTAGGTTTATGTTACTTTATAGATTTTAATCAAACTACTTACTCCCCTCTGGTAAACGTTTACATAGCTATTGAAAATGGCCATTTATAGTTGATTTTCTCATGGAAAACGGTTGGATTTTCCATAGTTATGTGAAAGTTGACCAGCGGGTATTTTAAGGCCTTTTAATGGGTATAATGTGGGTAAGCCATCCCTCAGTCACCATTTTTGGCTTGGTGGTATGTTTATACCAAGTCATGGGTGGTTTATAAACCAGCAAACACAACGGGAGGGGCACACCTGGCACCTTCTCCAAGACAGACCGAGCGCCCGCTCAAAAAGGCCTGGAATCCTCATGGAGCCTCCGCCCAACAGTTTCTGTGAAACTCATCCCCGTGATGAGGATTGTAACATTCAATATCTCTATAATATATATATATATATAATAGATATACATATATTATATATATATATTATATATATATTTACAATATATATATAATATAATATATAATATATAATATACATTCATTGTGCACTATGTACTTCCGCGTTTGCTGATTCGATCCCCCAGTTACTCCTGTGAAACCCTAATCTTCGCTCCGTTTTCTCCCGCCGAGAAGCCAGTTCGACCTCTTTCGCCTCTGGCATGAGCTCCCTGGCTAGTGGTGTTCTCAATGATTTGAGGGAACATCTAGAATGAAGAAACCAAGGTTTCTACCTCTGAAAAGGGGTGGTTCCCGGCTCTCCTGTCCTTCTCGAAAAACATGTTTCTCTTACAAGGTGATACGCTTAAGATACCCCCTGTTATGTTTATTGGTTTACTATACGCATCTAACTACAGATATGCATCTACCAGAAACCCAACAGTTCACCTACCTAGACAAGCACCGACATAAGCAGGGGGCATCAGTTTGCAGTTCATGAGAATTGAGTCAATATGGGGAGTATATCGTTGGATGTTAATGGGATTATCAAAGGAGTAGAAGGGGGGTTATCGGGCAAACGATGGACTGATGATGGGATTGTAAAACCAACCAGAAACCAGCAAAATAAAACCAACCAAAACCAATCATGATGAGGATATCAAATATCAAGGGGACTTGGCGGGAAGGTAACTGGTAACTGGATCCATGTTTTGACTATGGGGTATGGGACATAGCTTAAGAGCTATGCTGATGGAGACTTCATCTGATCGTAGTCATCCAAACGTCCAAACATGGTGGGTACAATACTGTGCTTTTGTGGCCATTTAGAAAAGGGGAAAACAATAATCAACCGTGATGTACCAACAAAAAGAAAATGGTAACTATATCAACAAAAAACTATATACAGCAGTTATTTTACCAGTTATAAGTCTGCAAGTCATGCCATTTATGGAAAAATAAGCCCGTAAATATACATATATATATATGGTGAGTTAGATAACCAGCTGAAATGGTGAATGACAAGGTGGTGTCCTCCCAGCTATGTTTGCTTATCTATTTCCCCTAACTGAGGATATATCTACAAACCCTAGTTCAAGCCACAACAACTTAGCTACTGTATGTAGAGGGTACACCACCTTGTAGATCTTGTAGGGACTTGTGTACAATTGGGGATTTACCAACAAGAAATAGTGAGATCAAGTATACAAAATACTGAACCTCAAACGATGGGCGGACTGGAGAATGATCTTTCAAACAATTGGAATTGTGAAATATGTTTGGGCAGTGTTGGGTTCCACAAAGTATCGACATATCTGCTGCTCGTTAAGACAATTTATTGGAGGAGAAAGCCTTCACTTTTTCATGGGCTAGTGGTTGAGATGCCAATGATCCAAGAATCCAAGTTGGGGGCCAAAAACTTCACCCAAAGAATGAGAAAAAATGAATCCACGAAGCTAGATCCAGTGAAGCCGCCTCTTGATCTATGTGAACGACAGCGCTGCGCCTCACCATTTCCTCGACCTCCTTGGCATAGATGCGAGAGACGGGCGTCTCTATCTTTGGCATGCCGATGCCTGGCGCTTTGGAACACCATCCGGGGCACACCGGGGCGGCGTTTTGGGATGATGGTAAAGCCCATGAACAGCGGTTCATAGGAGGCACCAAAGATCCCCAAATGACAAACAAACAATTGAATCATATATATATATATATATTATATACATGATAATGATCCATTATGATCCATTATGATCCAAGATCCATTATGATACATATCCCCCTTAAGTACCTCCGGTGTTGTCAAACATGGCTGGAAAGTCCCCGTTCGCAAAATGGTCGTCAAACATCGCTGGGAAAGTCATCGAAGCAAATAAGGAAAACAGACAGCACGCATCAGCAAACCATGTTTGATGATACCATTTATATGTATATACATTAATTATTCCATGATATATACAAAGGATATATACCATTATTATGATTTACCTATATACACCATGAATTACCTACGAAAAATATAAGAACATGGTGGTTTCCCAGTTCGCTTAATCAAAGATAATCAACACCCTTCCAGGTGTTTTTTGTCGTTTGTTTATGGAGGTTTCTTGAAATGGAGGTACCCCCAGTTCTCATCCATTTCTAGATCGGATTTTCCATGAAATAAACCAACCAGCTATTGGGGATCCCCCATGACTATGGAAACACCCATATGGCTTTTGTGGCTTCGAAAATGATGGCAATTTATGAACCGGACGTGTGTTTTTTCAGAATCATCTCCGGCGACTGCCACAATATCTGTGCAATGTCAAAGTCAAACAGCCTACCCTCTGGTAAACTAACATAACTATGGAAAATCACCATTTTTAATGGGAAAATCCACTACAAATGGCCATTTTCAATAGCTATTTTGACATAACCAGAGGGTATTTCAATCAATCGGGACAGTCCCAGTGCGAGGGCCGGGAGAGGTCACAGCAAAATTTTCTAGGCCAACTTGTGTCACAAGTCCATGAAAATCGTATGTGCCGATCATCCCAAAATTTCTATTGTCCCCGTTTACCATAGCCTATATCATATCTCCATCATCATCATGTCTCATCTTCGTCAATATCCCCACAACACCAGTCCGCAGGTCCCAAAAATTCCCAAGGCACCTGTGAAGTTCGACAGATCTAAGGTCTTTGGCGCGCACTGCATCCAGTCCTCCGCGCTCATTGCGGTCTTTTTCTGAAGCAGAACGAAGCCATGCTTCTCGAAGAAGTCTCTTTTCCTGCTCTACGGAGATCTTGGAAATGTGTCCGAAAAAGACTATGGTTATGTTTTTTGTTCCTATAACTCCTGAAAAAACTATGGATATATCTCATTATAAGGCACTTATAACTGTTAAGGGCTATAACTGTGGGAAAGCCTTGGTGTCATCAAACAAACAGTTAGCATATGGCAGTTCTGGATGTTCATCACCCTTTTCAGATGTGACTATCATACGGTTTGATGGATGGGCCCATAGAGGAGACTAAGCCAACAAACAATAACAAACATTGGGGTCAAAGCAGCCATGATCAGAGCGGAATCAACCCAAATGAGGAGGACAAAATCAACTGAAATGAAGATGTAAGCTGAGTATGGTGAAATCTGCTCAAAAATACTCAAAAGATCCATGGGCGGAGGAAAAAAAAACACTTAAGGCGATGAAACAAACCTCACCAGGCGAGGAAACATTTCCAGAGCAGCTTCCTTCCACGGCCTGGACGGCCTGTCATTCACTTGAGTGAATGGAACATATATCCACCATGATTTTCCGTCGGTGTATATTTCCCATCGTGCAGCGCATACAATGTGGTACCCCCCCCCCAGTGATGTTTGTTGGTTTATACCCACATCAACTAGTTCGATATATCTACCATAAGTCCTAGTTATTGGAGATATAAACCAACTTAGCTATCTAAGGGTATGGGAACCATATGGAACTAATATATGAACAAAATATCTTGCCGCACATTGCAGGCACTGGGATGCAACACTTGGTGTGGCCCGCAGTTATCAGTTGGTTTTAAGCATCGAAAATGGATATATCTAAATCAATTTAGCTAACCATTGGGCACCTTATATATGATGAGTGATATGGCTACAATTTGGAATGGTATCTGTTCACCCCTTGAAAATAAATGCTATCTTCATCACCATATCATGAACAAACTGTGAAAAATATGGCTATTCCAATTTCTCCACAACATCTCCGCGACATTTCTCCAGGATTTCTCCTATAGCCAAGACTCGACAAGCCTTCCAACCTCTCCTGGTCTCTGGCGTTCAACACTTTCACAACCACCTGGGCGTAGATGGAACCCGTTCACCGATGAAGATAGAAAACATGAGTTGATCGGGTTCACCAACAGAAAGTTGGTATAACAAAAACATCACCAGAAAGTTCCGACATAATCAACTATGACTTCTGGGAGAAGTACTCTGATCTGCACTACAACGGTCTATATATATATATACTTGTATACAAATTTACTATAGTTTACTGGGGATATTCAAACTTAACAAAGAATCACACAAGAATAATCATAGGGAGCTGATGCGGGTCTGCTGGGTCAGACCCCCCTCCTCTCACTGGTTTTGCCTGACAGAATCCCCAACCGCTGGGTGTCCAAACTGTACCATATGTCCATCCACAGGATGGACACCCATCGGCTGGGGATTCTGTAAGGCAAAACCAGTGAGAGGAGGGGGGTCTGACCCAGCAGACCCGCATCAGCTCCCTATGAAATAACTGGATGACAGGAATTGAAAGCTCAGCGACTGCCAACCCTACACCACCCAAAAAGATGCAAAATGATGCGGTCGTTCACGACACACCACTCCCTATGGATCCAATCGTACCTTCTTAGGAAGTGTTTGGATCCATAGGGACTCTTATTAATCAAGGATTTTTTGTTGAAAGAAAAAACGTCTATCTTTTTAAAGGATGCTACATGTATCATATGGGGGTACCCCCAGTTCTCATCCATTGATAAATGGATTTTCCATGAAATAAACCAGCCAGCTATTGGGTTCCCCCATCATTCTAGGAAACCCCCATATATCTATAGTTACCGTGGTTTATAACCCCATTTATGTATAATCCAATAGAAATCACGAGTTATAACATGTTATAACTAATAAATGGCCATGGCCATAACTGTTTGTTTTGGGAAACCCCACAGATGTATCCATATGTTTCCCCCATTCTCCCCACGGCTGCCGAAGCACGTGGGGTCGCCGGAGGTTCAGAAAGTATCTCCCCGTGTCCCACACAGTTCGGAACCTGAGGGCAGTCCAGAAACGTGGGCCCTCCCAGACTCCCAGTGATGTTTGTTGGTTTAATGGGACTGGGATTGAATTTCATGGACATTTCATGGGAATTTAATGGGATTGAATGGAGCTCTAATAGGACTGAATTGGATTCACAATGGAACTTCAATAAGTTTGAATGGGATTGACAGGTTGAACATTGTTGAACAATATTTTTTTGTAGTGTGGTTTAACCAAGAACAATTGAATGAATGGAAGTAATCTCATCCCACTAATATTCAAACATCCCACCAAACGGTCCCAAATAGATGCAAATCCCTTACCATGGTTTTAGGGGTCTGTTGGTATTGGTGAGAAGTGAGAAGGGATTATAACGCCTGTCAACTGTAGTTGAAGCTACCATAAGGCCTAGTTATTATGATCCAACTTAGCTATCTTGACCACATCTTGCAAAACATTTTGATGGTTGGTGGTATTTACCAACAAGAATAGGAGGTTTCACCAACAATGATAGGTTATAATGGGATATTATTGGAATAATAATAGGTTGTGGGATACCTGCAGAATGCCGCACACTTTGACAACTAAGTTCAATAGCACTGGTGGATTTGGGCCACAGGGTGCGGCCCCCTAGTGGCCCTAACCCCATCGAACTACACTTATACTAGCCATAAACCCGAGGGCCTTGTAGACATAAATCAATTTAGCTATGGACACACTTGGTCTTTATACCATTTTCTACCCTATTTTCAGTCACACCCATTTCGCTGGTCTATTTTGGGGGTACACTAATTATTTTCAGACTAACCCGTTTGTTTTTGTTCGAAATATTGCTGTCATTTTTCCGAGATTTTATGTTCTACAAACTTTTTTGGGGCATGAATAGCTTGAGAAGAAATCCTCACCGATTGTTTCATGGTGTTGCGCAGATACTTTTTTTTTGCTCAACTCCCAGTGTTGAAAGGTACAGCAGAGACCATGACCATGACCATGGGTAAAGGTCAACAAACACAAGAAGTCCGGGTCATTCTGGGTCAGTCTAAGTTGGTTTGTCTCAAAACTTAGCTCCACATATATATATATATATCATGATGAGTTGATCATCATTTTCCCAGAATGGAACATGTTGGCCTATCAATGCCTAGCAAATGTGAGGGGTCAAGCCTTTCTCCACCAGGAGAGAAGGTCTCGCAGGATGACACAAACACTTGCGGGTCTTTCTCCAAAACTGGGTGTAAAAGCGGTGGTTTCAGCATTTCAAGATGACCCATGTCAAGAATGTTGGATGTTGTGGTCCTCCATTTCAAGAACCCTTGGCGTTTTCTCAAAACTTGTTGGGGTCCCTAAGAAACCAAAAATGCCATGGCGTCACTCGATTGGGGTACAAAACCCTTTCTGTGCGTCGCCGGCGAACGCCGAGGGACGTCAAGGGAGGCCAGAGGGTCACAGGATGCCTGGGCGTCAGCCCAGAGTTGTGCCCAACGCTAAAGTCATGGGAAAGTCATCTGGAATCATCATCTATAATCTGGAATGATTGGCAAAGCAGTTGAGCAATAATCAAGGGCAATAGGGTAAAGAATGGAAGAAACTTCTATTAATACAAGCTGACCACTGTTAAGTAATATGGCCAAATTTGCTTATTTGTTTTTTCTTGCTGATGCTGATGGATAGCCAACTCAACCAAATAGATGGGAATTCTAACTCTACATACCTATATTTTTCATGCGTATAAAAATACGGAATAGAAATGGAACGACTACGGGATAGTAATGGAACACATTGTAGGAAAATAACCTATAAACAAATCGTTGATTTGAGAGGGTGCAATTGGGATGACTCAATCATGGGATAACTGTAACCATCGCAGAAATATTGACCCGCAGAAATTGGGATATGGGGCCCGTATGAGTTTCCGGGAAAATACACAAACTTTGAACTGGAACTGTACCTTTAGGTATGCTCCATGTATTACCTACATGACTACTGGTTGGTGGTTTCAATCCCTCTGAAAAATATGAAAGTCAGTTGGGATGATGATTCCCAATATATGGAAAAATAAAATTCATGTTCCAAACCACCAACCAGACTAGGTCATTTTTGAGGCAAATGTTGGTAAGTATTCCAGCACCATGGAACATGATGGATACTTCATAGGTTTCACCGTTTCACCATGGATATTATTAGATGAAAATCATGATCATTAATCCTCAGTCATCATGGATTAATTATCAACAATAAGGGCTGAAACATCAACAATACATAGGGGGTTATCTTGAGGGAAACTCAGGATGAAACATGGACAACAGTGGTATATTTGCCATTTCACTATTTCCGGGATGATCGGAATTGAATGTGCAAAACCAACCATCTTGTGGGGGTATCATATGATGGAATATGACTATCGACATACATTAATAAATTTGAGAGTAGTCCATTTGCCCGGCCTTCGCCCCAAATAACTCACGAAACATCGGCTGCAAGATTGTGGTGCCCCCGTTTTTCCAGGCACTAGTGAACACATTTTGCCCTATTAATATACTGGTTGGTGGTTTTCACCATCTTGAAACATATGAAAGTCAATGGGAAGGATGACATCCCATATATTATGGAAAATAAACATGTTCCAAACCACCAACCAGTATATATATATAATTACATATATATATATTAATTACATCCCAAGAACTCTTGGTGAGATTTTTTTTGGCTGGTGTCATGCTGCCATGATCGCTTGTTCCTGTCTCCGCCATGCTCTCCAGCAGGAATGCCACCAGATCACCAAAGTGGGTCCGGTCGCTCGTTTCCGACCCTGTATCAAGCTTGAAAATTATACTACCAAAACATTTTGGTCGTTTGCGTCGGTACTATTTTGTTTGGTCGGTTCTTCGGAAACCAGGCGTTTCACAAAATGTCACATAGACGAACTTGATGAAAACTAGGCGATATGCGAAGAAATAGGCGATGCGTCTGGACTTCCATTGCATGGTTCAACCTTAAATCCAGGTCACTCTTGCTTGTTTATGTGGGTGCGATTTCTGACTCCTATACTGACTACTTTTTATCTCGATGCCTGGCAAAAACTACTACGGAACTAGCTACTACGAGTATGTGTAAACACAAACCAAAAGCCCTGTTTTCTGGATTTGCAGATTTGCAGGCGTTTTGCGGGATGTTTGCGGGGCGTTTTGGTCGCCTTTTTTTGTTTTTGGCAGATTCTGTGCAAAAGTGCTTTGAACAGAAAAATAATAGGCGGGGTTGCGGAGTCAGACCTGCATACCCAACTCCAATGCACTACTCTGGCCTCAAAAATTGCTACTTACATGCGCGGGAGAGGGGCGGAAAATATGATGACACATTCAAAATTATCAAATTTCCATGGTTTTTGAGTGTTTCAGATTTTTGATGACGATCCCCAAAAAAACTAGGCGACTTCGACCATAATTGGTAACCAACCAAAAGGATCAACATATATTAGGCGTTTGAAGATCCAGGTAAATATATAATATAGTTTGGCTATCATAAACCCCAATTATTATATTAGCTTAGCTATGCTTGGCTTAGATTAAACCACCTGTAGTTACAGTACACCGGAAATCATACAAGATGGTACTCCAGGTCGTGATCGCGAAGTTGGTGAACATGACTCGAGTAACTTATTCGTTCATTTCATTAGGCGCAAGCACCTAAAGTTTTTCATCAAAGGTACCTAAGGCACTAACTTGTGTCTACATCTCATAATATCCCCACTGACAAATATTCCATGAAACCATTAAAATATTCTTAACCAATTCAAAATATGAAAGCCACATTAACCAGATCAACGCCAATAATTATGGTATCATGGTTGTTTATACCGAAACTTAGACCCTCCACTTGTGGGGAACAAACACAGATTTTTATATGTTTTTTAGGTTCTTGGAGGATCTCTAGGTATATCCCAAAAAAGGGGTTATAAAGCAACAACCCAACAAATCTCTTGGGTTCCACCTGTCAATGCGCCAAGTCGCCAAACACCCGGTTCCACAAAGCCTTTCTTGTGAAGACCCATGAACCTCGGAGGTCGCCATGTTTCCAGTCGTCATGGTGGCGTACAAATAGCGAGGCAAACCCCAACAGATTTCGGCTGGAAAGTTGTGAGCAAAATCATTGGCCTGGTGAGAAGGTAAATCAAGAATTTCTGGAAAAAACATAGTCTATGAGTCATGGCCAAGTTACATGGTATGAAATGGACATGGTCATCCATCCCATGTCATCAGAATCCTCATCATGGGTTTTTAAAAAACTCCCCACAAAAATCGACCACGACGACCATCACCCTGGACCTTCAGACATGCCGATGTGGAAAATAAGGATGATTTCAATTGTCCCAATCCCAAAAAAATACCATCTGGTTATGACATTCACAGTTCGCCATGGAAAATCATCATGCTATTAAGAACGGTAAACCATCTATTTGTATGGGCCATGGCTTTCCATGGCAAACTGTTAAATAATCAAAGGGTATTCTAATCTCGCACCGATTTGGGCCCAAACATATTCGGAAAGCATCCTACCAGCAAAGAAGAGTCAAGCGGGGACCATTATCACATGCATGGATGAAGAGTAAACAGTGTATACACATCAGTAGATATATATATATGTGGATTATATGCATATCAATATATATCTGTTTGGTGGTTGACCTACCCCTCTCAAAAATATGAAAGTCAGTCAGGATTATTCTTCCCAATATATGGAAACATGAAATTCATGTTTCAAACCACCGACCAGATATAGTGTATGTTTAAGAACTTATATTTTTTGAGGGAACCATCCGTTCCACAGCATGTGAAACGATGGTAACATCGCAACATGAGTTGATCCAGCCAGCAGCCAAAAAAAACTTGGAAAATCATGGCAGCGTTCGCAGAAGTGATTGGGCGCAATGTAATTTACAATTTGGTACGATCATTTTCTTATAATTGAACCAAGTAAATGTATACTTCATTAAAGTTTTTTCACAAATGTGTATAGTTCAATGTAATTAATCAATGAATGGTATTTACTGAATTAATCATAATGTAGAGCTTAATGCATGCTGGTCCTTCACTTTTCATAGCTTGATATTTCATTTACAATGAAATACCCGTTAATTTCAATGGTATATTTACATTTGACACAAACACTGTTGGTCCTTCTTGTTTGATCCATACAGCATTAAAATGATCATTTCCCAGAAACGGTTGATTGAAGGCTGATTTCACAGGAGAGCAAACCACCAAAGCAAACCACCAGTGCCAGTATGATATGCAATATATATCTTTACGGATCTATGTTATCTCAACCTACCTACCGTTATCTCCAATGAGTTTGGTTAGTTCAGTCCCGGCGACTATCCGACCCTAGAAGACTTGGAGAGTTGGGCACAGAACCTGACTTTCCACAGAAATAGAGATTTAGGGGTATCCCAAAGTTACCCTCTGGTAAACTAACGTAACTATGGAAAATCACCATTTTTAATGAGTAAATCCACTATGAATGGCAATTTTCAATAACTATGTTAGTTTACCAGAGGGTATGCTACAATTCAAGGATAACAGTAATATATATATAAATATATATATAGCTCATTTTTGGGTACCTAAAATAGCAAAACATCTTGATAGGAACTGTTGACATAGCTACAGTTATGGTCCTCAAGAGTTATGGCCATGGGATTACAACTCCTGTAACTAAGGTTATCGTGAAAAAAGCAAGTTATGACTGACTATGGGGCGAAAAACACTGTAAACATCATAAGCCAGAACAAATTGTATAATAGTATATCCCCTTTTATTAACTCATGATTAACCCATTGACAGAATTTAAACAGAGTTATCTTTAATGGCTCTGCCCATCCGAACATTTTGCCAGAGCACTTGGCTTCCACAAAGCGCACGTCCACCGCGTCCACCGAGGCGAAGTGCGTTCCGTGGGCGTCGTCACAGCGAAGCGCGGACTGCACGGCGCTGGGGTTAGCCGTCGAACTATATTCATTGTGTTTATTTACGTATATATATACAATAGTAACTATATATATATATGTACATGCTTAGTGTAAAAACTATGTGCATAATTATGTGTATATAATTCTATATAAATATATTATCTATAATCTATAGATAATATTAGATAATTATATATATAATATATATACTGGCCCTCATTTAAGATAGTCAAATATTTCTTGTGTGGTCTTCACCATTTCAATCTCAGATCCCATTGTTTGTGATTTTGGGTATCTTATATAAATGTTCGCCCTGGCGTCCAGGGAAATTGACATAATTTGATTCCCCATTGGACCAAGTCGGGTATTTGTTAGATTCCACAATTGGCATTTTGGATCGCATGCTTTCTTGGGAAATCACCCATTGACACCTTGTTGATTTTCAAACTGCGTTAACTCCTCAGCCTTAGACGATGGATCCATTAGCTTTTTGGCGGTGTTGCGTGGCCATCTGATGCCATTGAGGTGACCCATTGAAGATAATGTTATGATTGAAACGTTCACCTGCTGGTTTATAATAAACACTAACTGGCTGGTGGTTGACCTACCCATCTGAAAAATATGATTTCGTCAGTTGGGATGATGACATTCCCAATATATGGAAAAATAAAATTCATGTTCCAAACCACCAACCAGCTAAGATAAACCCTAGTTAACTATCCTTAATGACCTGGGGCACCAGTGACAGTAAAAATCGGAGTCCGGTCACTCCGATTGGGTCCAAAGTGAGGCACCCGTTTGCGATAGCTAAGTTGACCTATAACTTGGTTACCTCGGGTTTATGGGGACAATGGGGCATATAAACCAATGTATAACTCGGGGGCCTCATCTTGTAACTAGTCATAAAAGCTTCATTTGGGGGGACGCCACTGCTGACATGGGGTATTCCTCAATTTGAGAAACTCCGAACTGGGGAATATTCCTTAAATTTCTTGGTCAATAATAATTTGCATATGGCCCATGACAGTTCAAACATGTTCTAAGTCTATATCTCTACTGGCTAGAAGCTAGCCATATCCCAGCTACAAGCAAACTATAGAAACTATACATCCTGCTTGTGACCAGTTTGGTTTAAGTGATGCCTAGACCCTCCAAATACCCCCAAAAAAAAGTTTACAAGTACTAAAAGTGTGGGGTAAAACACCACTGCTGGGTGGTTTAACCATCTTGAAAAATGATGGACTTCGTCAATGGGAAGGATGACATCCCATATATGAAATGGAAAAGAAACAATCTGGTTGGTGGTTGACCTACCCCTCCGAAAAATGATGGACAACTCGTCAGTTGGGATCATTATTCCATTCCCAACTATTGGGAAAGTCATACAACAACTCATGTTCCAGTCACCACCAACCAGAATCATATATAATCTATGATTTTCCTATGATTTTCCCATGATTATACCATTTTTAGAGGGAGGCATCCACAGCACCAACAAAACTTTCTACATCTGGGACAGATCATCCCGGGGTCCCGATCGACTCAGGAAATCCCCATGGAATATCCCCATTTTACTATGGAAAATCATCGTTTTTTTACCATGAAAACCATAGGAGGTGCCCCAGTGAGCGATGAATTCATCGCGTCGCTAAGTTGGGGCTTACATAACTCCGATTTCAAGTTTGGGTTTATGGTAGATATATCTATATAGTTACATATATATATATAGTTACTATGGTTTATAAACCAACGTTCACATCACTGGGGGGGCACCACCTTGTATATATCCCCAATTATATCCCCATTCTATATAGATACCAATAATAGGGATATACTATTGTCCCATAAGCACTATTTTGGGGATATATAGGATATACAATATAATGGGGATACTCATCCTATAATACAGAACCATGTCGCTTCTATACCAACAATTTTCTATACGGATATACGGTGTATATATATATACCACTATGTATCCCATCCCATGAAATGTTATTATATTTGTTAAATCCCCATGATAAATATCCATATCCATTGGCTTATATGGGGATTTCACCAATACATGCCATTGATCATGCCATGGTACTATGATTCCAATTTAATCGTATATACTTTTAAACAATTTCAAATATTGTAATATAATATATGGTTGATCCATACCCATGATATATCCCCAATTATATGCCATTGAATTCAGGTCTTCATCGTGGTCCCTTCTGGTGACCCTCCTTGTGCTGCAGCCATCTCGACACCGCCACACACGGCGGCGCAAAGACAGGCGCAAACAACACTCGCGGCATGGCGTTGTCACCATCGAAAGTTATAAGGCTGCTTAAGATTTAAGGCCCTATAGTTAAAATATTAGATGTTTATTTCTATGGTGTTTCTCTATGGTTACAGGTTATAAGTTATAAATATTTATAAATGGTTACTTTCGGTTTATGACTTATGGTGACTTACTAAGCCACTCAACTGCTACTCGGGCTGGGCCACAAATATCTGTGGGATTTCACCGTGTGTTTTGATCATCCCCAGCTCCTGATCGACAGCTGTTCTTTTTCTGAGACGATGATAATGATGGTTAGTCATAAGTTATACTGGTTGTGATTTTCCCATTAAAAGTTGTGATTTTCCACAGTTATGTTGATGGAAATGATATATATATATATATATACTGGTTGGTGGTTTCAACCCCTCTGAAAAATATGAAAGTCAGCTGGGATTATCATTACCAATATATGGACAAATAAACAATGTCCCAAACCACCAACCAGTATAATTATAATGTTAAAGCAATAATGATGGTTAGTCATGATGGTTAATTAAAATCGAAATTTTGCTTAATGATGGTTGAAGCAAAAGTGATGATAACCAATGCATAATTAAGCATAATTAATCAACAAATGACCTGATGGGAGGTGAATGGAGATCATCGAATTCACAGGCAGAAATCTTCGAATTTGTCACTGAGATGAAACTCCAGCAATGAAACGATCGACAAACCCCAAAATATAAAGAAATGCAAACAGGTGCAAAGCTATGGTTGCATGAATCGCAATGAATCTGTTCTCATCCGTCTGTGAGATATCTGATTACATCGAAGTTTGAGCAGGTCAGTTCTATGTGAATCATTCGCTTTAGCTCAGCCAGACAGTGGCTGCTCGAGCACTGGACATAGGCAACGCTGATGACGCAAGACATGGTGGTGCCCCTTATAGGTTTCTTACAACTAGGGTTTATGGGAGATATATCTACATTTGATTGGAGATAACTAGGGTCTATGGCATCTATGGTTCTACATGATTCTAAACGATTCTAAATGATTCTAAATGGGGGTTTGAAATCCGCTTACAATTTCGAGACGCCACCATGAAGCTGTAGCTGTTTGTGCCGGTTAGTTAGATGAATGTGTTTCCCCGTCAAGGAATGAAACCCTAACTTTCTAAACTTCACCGAGAAAGGGATCAATAGTGATCATGATCTGTATGTTAGTGATATAATGAAAGAGTAGCAAATGTAGTAAGGCAGTAACGAGTAGATGAAGGGATACGGAAATGAACACGTTCAAACCTTATGCTTCAAGATCGGTCTATGGATATATTAGATACGATTCAACCTGATATTTGCCAACAACACCATTGTCATATACAAAAACAAAAAACTAAAAACCAAAAAAATAAACTAAAAATGAAAAAATCCTTGGAGGGCGATCTCGAAGTCCATCGGCAAAATCCTGGGCTCGACCAACTCTTGAGGCGCGCTTCGCAGACTCCCGTTCCGCGACCATGGGCGTCAGCGCGGCTTTGTCGGCCGCGCGGCTGAGGCTGGCTCCTTGCGGCAATTCAATGGCCGAAAGATAGGGATTTAACATGATTGGACTATAGGAACCAAGGTTAAAACTAGAACAGGTCAATAATTTACCATCGTCTCTGATCGTTTCAAGTACGATTTTACCAGAGTTTACCCTTCTGGGTTTGCTACAATGACTAATGGATGAACCATTGCTTTGTGTATAGGCCAACAAATGAGATATACCGCACCGCAAAATATATGATACCCTCTGGTTATTTAACATAGCCATGGAAAATGGTCCATTTATAGATGGTTTACCTATTAATAGCATGGTGATTTTCCATGGCTATGTTAGTCATAACCAGAGGGTATATTAGGTCTTGATGATAGTGGATGGTTTTTAGAATCTCTCCAACGACATAGTGCAAAAAAAGGACTGACCCATGGTGCCATCTCTGTACCTGGGGCATCCTGGGGACCTTGGAGTACAGAGTTTGAATCTCAGTACTTCGCCAACATCCCGATTTTGGACCGGCATGTTCACCATGTTTTTGACGTGCTGCAAGAATCATTGAAACTGAGCCAACCATGGGAAACATAGGCTTTTGGATATTCACTGGACATACATGCATGACATAGTGTCAACCAGGGCCAATATAAGCCACAAGAATCCACAAGATATATCCAAACCTGATGGGTTTATGGCTTTGGTCTTCCAATCTTTGTCGATAGATCACGCATTTTCTATCTCCAAATAGATTCAATGGGTTTCAAACTCACCAAAGCTCCATCATCACGAATCACCTGACCAAAAAAAAAAAACAGATCTCTGGTTGGTGGTTGACCTACCCCTCTGAAACATATGAGTTCGTCAGTTGGGATGATGACATTCCCAACTGGATGGAAAGTCGTAAAATTCCATGGTTCCAAATCACCACCAAGCAGTGGTTGATAAACATAGCAATTAAATGGTTATTAGATGTGATTATACAATGATTATTATATGTAACCACCAACTGGATGTAAAAAAATCATGTTCCAAGCAGGATCTGATCTAAGGCACCCATTTGGCACCCAGTTGGCACCCACCCCTCCACTGCTCCAGATCCACGAGTCGTTTTCCTGGGACAAATCAGCATCCAAAAAGCCAAAAGTTGCGCGTTGAATGTAGGTTAAAAAAACAGCACCATGGAGCATCTGGGATAGTTATGGATAGTTTACTTTCTAGTTCGATATTCGATAGTTATGGGTACTTAGTATACTGGTTCATTCCCTGATTCCCAAAACGTTCAGCACCAGTAAGACTAGTGAAACGCCGAGAACCAACTGAGAATCTGATTCTGTGGAAGGCGATTCCATGGGCAAAGAAGGGCAACATGTTAACCGGTCGTCAAACCCTCGGTTTTTCGCTGCTCTGCTGCAAAAGGTATACTTTGGACATCTACAATGTGAGGCCCCCAAGATATAAGTTGGTTTATAAGCCCCAGTAACTATAGTTATAAATACCATAAACCATAGTCATTGGAGTGTTTGCACGTTTAAACCTTCAAATCATCGCAAAGCACCATTTTTTCAGGACCAATAACTTGGTTGTAATTGTTAAATCCGATGTCAACGTTGGGATCCGTTTTTTTCCAGGGCCCCGGGAGGAAATTCATGGAAATTCCCCAACCAAGCACAGATCCGATGAGGCGAACTGAGGCCGAAACCCCACAAAGTTCGGGAAATAGCCCTGCCAAAAACTGCAGGTGATCGCATCGTATTCCTTGAAGCTGTCACTACATAGATCGTGGTGCCCCAGTGAGCTAAATCGCGTTCAGTTGGTTCACATAACTACAATAACTAGGACTTATGGTAGATATATCGAACTAGTTGATGGGGGTTGTTTAAACTAACGTTCACATCACTGGGGGGGTACCGCATTGTAGATAGCGTCTATAGTTGTCCATGTGTCCAAAACATTGGTTGAATTATACCCCCAAATAACTATTTTTCTTGGAACAAAATGCTGATTTTTACCATGATCAACTGATTTTTTTCGGGATACCCGGGTTTTTCTGACAAAGCCATCCCGTTCAGAAAACATCTTAGTAAACCTTCCGGTCGTTTAACTTGGTATCCTGGTTGACGATTAGAAACCGATGATTTACCTCGCAACCGATGATTTTTCATGGCCATGTCGAGAGTAATAACATGTCCAAAAAATACAAACATGTGTAGAATAAACCAATTTATCATTCCTTTGGTAGGATATGACCTGGTCTTTTTTGGAGGTTGCTGAAGTTGCTATAGACTTTCTATTCATTTTACTGGATACGAGTATGATCTTCACATTTCATCATCCAGAGGTGTTTTATTCAAAGTTCCAATGTATACCTGGTTAAATTAACATCCTTGCAACAACATTCTTGCGGAATTATACTATAGTTTCACTTGAAAATACAGCTGTAGCCCTTACCAGTTAGAACTTATAACTGTCTTACAGCTTTAAGATATATTTAATAATGGGTAAATTATAATCATTCACTAACCTGAAATATGGCCATGTCTGGGATGATTTCCCCAACATAAACCATGATTCCAGGGAGAACAGGGAAAGGCCGTTATTTCTCCCAAGGCCACACCCACCAAGGGTCCTCCGGACAAAATCCCGGCAGGGACTATGTTAAATGTATAAAATACAGTATAGATCAAACTAATCTGGTTGGTGGTTGTGTATGTGTTCTTTATGTATGGATAGTTAGATGATAGTTAGCTGGTTGGTGGTTTTAACCATCTTGAAAAAATGAGCTCGTCAATGGGAAGGATTGTGCTACCATATATTATGGAACATAAACAATCTGGCTGGTGGTTGACCTAGTGGGATGATGACATTCCCAACTATTGGGAACAATAAAAATCATGCTCCAAACCACCAACCAGTGGTTGTTCAACATGGCTATTAAATGGTTATTAGATGTTAAACTATACCATGGTTACTATTAATGTAACCACCAACCAGTTCATGTATGATGATATCACAATCCTATGATGTTGAGTTTTTTCTTGTGCAACCCGGAAAAATGATAAATATCTAGAATTATATCAACACCAATAACTATAATGATAAATAGATGTTCAAATATATTTAAACATAACATATAACAACTGTTTAATCCAACCACCATCATCTATTGTGCATGCCTCATAAAGGATCTGCAACGAGGGCCTGGTCAATTCGATGGAATCCTGGGAATCTAAGGAATCAACAAAAACCATAAATACGTTAAAGGGTTAAACATAAATAAGGAAATCAGACATTAGAAATATATGGAACTTAGATGATTTTTGAGCAATCAGATTTTTTGAACATTGTTAAACATAAATATGGAAACTAGATGAAATTAGCCAGAAAAAAAAGGGACGGCAAACGTCAATTTACCAGGGCTTACTACAGATACAAAATAAATCAACATCAGGAGTTAACTAGCAGAAGCAGGGACGTGATCGGAACAACTGGGGGAGTGAACCGTCAACAA